TTGTGCATCGATTAGGTACTGTTAGTGCTTTATACAATGGGCCATAAATAAAGTTTCTCTAACAATGTTTCCTTTGTACCTAGGTCACATCATCGAGAAGGTCCCAGAAATGCCCCTGGTTGTCTCTGACAAGGTCCAGGAAATCAACAAGACTAAACAGGCTGTCATCTTCCTGAGACGCATCAAGGCTTGGTCTGATGTACTCAAGGTAGGTTATACTCCTTCATGGATATTGTCGAGAGCTAATGTTCACATGTGAACAGCAGGTGAATGTCCAGGCGACACACGTACTTAGGTATCGTCATGAGCTAATGCATAACTATATGATTCTCCTAAAAAGCTAATTACTGATGTATATATCTTTAATTATGTCAATGGAGAGATAGTAAACTTCCAAGCCAACCATCCGGCTAAACTATATGGTTTAACGCGGACGTAAACTGTGGAAAACAAATTTTTACTCTAACAAACCCCCAAACCAAATACTTAGGCTACTGCTAAGATTATTAGTTTTCGGGTTCGATTCCCAGTTAACGCAACTATACATAATTATTTAAGTCGGAAGTTTCGCTAAACGCACATCTTTTCTAAAGTGTAATAACTTTTCTACTTAAACTGTAGTTATTTCACCTGTATCTATTCTTGAGGGGTACAATTTGTGTATTCTTTATCTTTTATTTCTTTATCTAAATCTTCTTTTAATTTGCTGACAGGTGTACAAATCCCAGCGCCTGCGTGCCGGTAAGGGAAAAATGCGCAACCGTCGCCGTGTCCAACGCAAGGGACCTCTGATCATCTACCACAAGGACCAGGTATGTTACTGCAAATATGTTATATATTCATCTAAATAAAGATAACTAAAATATGCTGGTGTTTTGTCTTTTCGTCTACTGGTCTTCTGGCATACTCGTCTACTCGTCTTTTGATCTACTTTTTCTATAAATGTATAAGAAATTTATTGCCAATGCAATGGTGTGGGCCTGGCTTTTATTTTATGTTGAACAAATCCTAACAATGACAATAAAGATTCATCTTCGGTAACTAACCTCTCTTATCATTTACTAACACTTCTCACCCCGGAACTGTAAAATGCAGTTTATTTCCAAGCTGTAGTTTTGTTTTGGGGTGATATCGACGCTGCATAACCGAACTGCGCGCGTCTATACGCATAGCAGATCATAATTGTTGCTACAAGTATAATATTTAAGTTATTAACCTTCTTGAGTTAAAGGATGGAGTTCAACTTTGTAATACTTCACTTATTTTTGATGAGGGAGATTCCTCAAATAACTCTTGCCCGGGAGTCACAGACTAAAAAACCACCTCATCCCTTCTCCTGCCTGCAACCCTAGATAAAACATCAACCATCTGTGGTGGTCTACCCGAGCGTACGGCGCTTAGCCTCAAAGAGCCAATAGACCACCACAGATGGAGCCCTACAGAACTGATGTTCGGCGAAAGTTGCGGGGCTGCCGCAATCTTTAAAGCAAGAGATGGCACAGGGAGGTTTTTTTATTCACTAAGATTCTGACACACCTTACACTGGGTAGGAGGAAAAGCTGAGGTGGTCTGTTGGCTTTTTGAAGCATTTTAGACTCACTTGTCTGATATTGGATGCTTAAGTAAAACATTTTTTTATTTTGTCCCAGGGTCTGACCCGCGCCTTCCGCAACATCCCAGGCGTGGAGATGCTGAATGTGGACAAGCTGAACCTGCTGAAGCTCGCCCCCGGTGGTCATCTCGGACGCTTCTGCATCTGGACCCAGTCCGCTTTCGACAGGCTTGGTGAGTAACCTTCACTATGATGATAACTAGGGATTTTATGGATACGAAATTTCGGATATGGTTATGGGTATGGATATGAAATTATTTCCGATTATCCGTTAGTTTCGGATAACTTCAGTTTAATAAAATTCAATTACAAACATAATGTGTCTCAATTAGTCTCCGCCCTTATCCGATATTATCCGAAACTTACATTTCGGATTCGGTTACGGTAACAAATCTTTTTTTTTATATCTGATATTCGAAAATTTCGATTACGGAGCTCCCTAACATTCTTGACGATAACTATGTCTGGCTGTGCCTAATGATTCCCCTATAAGCCTTACTCGTTCCGTTCCATACGGATCAGAGTTACGAATATCGAGGGGTATATTAAACATTCCCTTAGGAAACACTGACCTAGACAGCTAGTCTGTCAGTGTGTCGACGTGTGGATTACAAGTTACATTGTACAACCTCCATCAACCTCAACCTCATTATCAACCTCTTCTATATTACCAACCTACCTTTGCAGATGCTCTATTCGGCTCCTGGAAGACACCCTCCAAGGAGAAGAAGAACTTCAACCTTCCCCAGCCCAAGATGGCCAACACTGACCTCAGCCGTCTGCTCAAGTCTGATGAGATCAGGAAGGTGCTGCGCGCCCCCAAGTATGTATACATTGAATTTTGTAGCGGATATGTGACTCACAAATGCTACTGACTGCCCCGATTTCCTAATTCAAGCAGTGTATTTCAGCCAGGGTTGCGGGGCAAGCGCAATGAGGCACCGCGGCCACGGCCTAAAGTAGGAGAAGGAATGGGGAGTTTTTTAGTCAGTCAGCAGTCAGGCTTTTCGCCAATATGTATTTTACTTACCCATTTGCCAAAGACAATGCGTGGTGTTGAAATTTTTAGTCTTCTGTATAAACAGAAGACTGATAAATATGTTAAATAGTTTACTAATGTAACTGTGGCTAAAATTACTTAGTCGGTTCGTATCATTGGCCGTGGCTTATGTAGCTGAATACAGCTCATGAATATGACTCTTAGGGTGACTTGAAACTAGTTGGGTTCTGAAGTAAGAGTTTTGTAACTTAGCCAATAAACATTAAATAATACAGTAGTTTCCAACTAGTCAAATTCCAATATTTTTATCCAAACATCAAAAACTATAATTTTCTATGAAATTTGTATGAAAAACTGAGTTATGACGTCATAAAATTTTTGCGTCAAATAGCTTACTTATTTCTTCATAATTAGCCATTAAAAAAATTAAAACTTACTGTATCGATAGATCGATGAATAAAAGTGTAGTTATTTTTCAATATTTTATTGTATTGAAACGTCGAATTAATTTATTTTTGACCTAGGAAACTACCCAATTCGTACAACTTTTTATAACATATATTTTTTCGTAGAATGTTTTGCTGTTTAGAATGAAACAGACCATTTCTCGACCTCAATATTTCAAATGATGATATTCTCTATCAGAGCATTGGGTTATGATAACCATGATTACTCACACGTTGACACTTTCTGAACCATATCCTCCCCACTTAGAACCAAGCAAAAACCTTCCCCGATATTAATATTAAAATCTTCATTACAGCAAGCGCGTAGTCCGTGCCACAAGGAAACTGAACCCGCTGACCAATTCCAAGGCCATGCTCAGGCTGAACCCATACTCAGCTGTTCTGAGGAGGAAGGCCATTCTTGACCAGCAAAGAAGAAACAATGTTAGGGCTCTGGCCGTAGCTGAGAAGCGTGGTGTAAGTAAAATATATTTTTATATTTATTAATTCCAAACTGTGTTGGAAGCGAACTTAACATTGAAATATAGAATTTCTTTTTGTAAATAGACCATACAATAGCACTCTTATACATCAAAGTTATCTATAAAAGAACTAGATGAAGTTGGAACAATGCCTGGTCCAATTTTGTTAAGAATTTTTTATGTGTTTGGTTTTATCAGAAGGTTCTTATGAAAGAAAATTTGATAAAAGTAGCGGGGAAATTGGGGCAAATATCGGTCCTTTTTTCTTTAGTCATTTTTAGACGCTACATGCTTTGTGTATAGACAGACAGTTGCGTGTCTAGCAAGGTAACTTCGGATCCCATACCTGGGTTTAATAAAAATCTGGTTTCTCAGTTACAGAACTAAGAAATGAGTTTGACCTGATGATAGCAATTCACTCCTCTATTACATGATACAATAGGATACTACTCTAAATTTAATTAGTTTAGTTGGACAAGCAGTAATATTGTAGTAGGAGCATGTCAGCACTTTTTTACCTGAAACACAGGTTTGCACCTAGTTCAGGTTGTACTTTGCTTTGTATTGTACTTAAGATATTATACATTTTGTAATCTACCTTTTTATAACAATTAAAAATATTATTATTTATTATTATTACAATGTAATCCGCCCTCGTCTACACGTTCCGGGCCTAAAAGTTATTTATTTTAATATAATTATATGATGATATTCTCTATCAGAGCATTGGGTTATGATAACCGTGATTACTCACACGTTGACACATTCTGAACCCATCCCATCAACAAGAAAACACCATCTTCAATCTTCCCCTATTAAAAATAAACTCCCTTACAGATTAAACTGCCCGAAGTTGATCCCGCAGTCAAGGCCGAGAAGCTTCGTCAGCGTCGAGTAAAGTTAGCTAAAGCTGCTGCCGCCAAGAAACCCAAAAAGCCGGTAGCCAAGAAAACCGCCCCCCCTCCACCCAAGAAGGCGAAAGGTGACAAGAAAGCTGGCCAGAAGGTCAAAAAACCTGTAGCTAAGTGAGGGCGTTAATAAATTTATATATTGACCACACAATTTGAGTTTTATTTCTTTGTTTTCCTGTAAAGATTGGTTTGACCTTTTTAAATGCTGCGTGAAAATGATAGTATTCACATGAAAGCTATAAAGGTCGCAGCTCATTACAGCCACCCGACATCCACCCAGGAATCTTACCTGCGACACGTTGCACAGCACAGCTTTTTACCCAGCCACAATCATTAAATCTCCAAATCCCTAATCCCTAAAAGGTCGGCAACGCACTCATAACTTCTCCGTTGCGGGTGTTCATGGGCAGCGCTGATTGCTTACCATCAGGTAATCCGTCTGCTCGTTTGCCGACCAATTACATTACATAAAAAATCGTGAGTGAATAACTAGATTTCTCATTCAAACTATGTTGAAGGTATTGTCATGAAAACAGAGTTGCTACCAAAATGGTAGGTAGGTCTAACCTATTATAGAACTGAACCGCATAATTAGAATCACTATCGCAAATAAACAGCTAGGTACCTACTCAAATTGTGATCAAAGGGCTAGTTGAATAATTGAACGGCTGATTTTAACCTACAACATAGATTTCATGACAATCCTAATGTTTTAGCGTATATGTATACCTACTCCACACGTGCATATAAGTAATTGTACGGACCTTGTAGAATGTAGAACACGTTTTTGCCATACCTATTACTGGATACAAGTAAACACATTAAATAGGTAGCAGCTCATAGATTAGTCCCATTACAATAGTAAGTTTTCCGTGATGTTTGGTGACTAAGCTTCGCCCAGTTGTAATCTCTTTTGTGCCTTTAAAGCTTAAGTCATTTTGTCTCCTGCATAAAATTTACCGAGGGAAGTGGAAACTATTTCGGATTTTTCTTCTCCTAAAACAATAGCTTAGGGATCCATGACAGTCATTCATGTCCGTGGGACGCGCCGGACTTCAGTGTTCCGGTGTTTTCGTGGTTGTATCTACTGTAGATCCCGGTACACAGGAGTTGCAGCGGTTTTGGAAGGTTATGGTGAACTTTTCCCATAAACAAAAACTAGGCACCTAATACGTAGCCAGGTACTTTGGCTGGTGGGAAACTCAACTCCGATTCGCCGTTTCCTCAGACGAAAATCATTTCCACATAGCTAAGCAGTCTAATGTGTTAGAAATGGGCGCTGTACATGGACCACAAGAGAGAGTCGTGCCTTCGGTAACTTAACTTACACAGCTGCTCTTTAGACAAGCGTTTTTCATACCATGGAATCACTGGATCTCACATAATCGAACCAACTAAATAATGTATCAAAGAATGTGTGTGAGACTGATTTAGAATGAGTAACCAAAACACATGGTTTCTTGCTCGTTCTTCTCCATCGGAATATGTATAATTTGGAAGGAGCAAATAGCTTCACTAAGAAGACTGATACTTCATACACCTTTAAAAAATTTAGTTCACGTTCAAAAGTGCCTTCAAGGGTCTTATTGAAATGCATGATTTTGGCTTTGACTTGACTCCGGTTGAGCCGACCAATCGTGCTTTTTTTATGGTGTAGATCGTGTAATGTACACTACTACTGAGATTAAATATTAGTCTGTAATGGATTAGGTATAAGCACTGATATCGGCTTGCAGCGACCGTCCACGTCTTCTCTCCACGGCGGTCGGTTGGCACTACCCGTAGCATTTACCCCTGCCCCGTGACTACGCGTGTGCGCTGCTCGAGACGACAGAGTTACCTACTACTAGAAATGTCTATACACTACCGGTCAGAAACGAGCAGGCGGATTACCTGATGGTAAGCAATCAGCGCCGCCCATAGACACCCGCAACAACAGAGGATTAACGGAGTGCGTTGCCGACCTTTCGGGGATTAGGGATTGGCGGAGAGGATTGGGTCCCCGGTAACCTCATTCACACGTCGAAACACAACGCTGTAATTTTTACGCCGGTTTTCTGTGACGCTGTGGTATCATTCGTGCTGAAGCATAGCTCTCCTGATTGATGTAGGTAAATCTATAAGTATATATCGCTAAATAACAAATTAAGAACATCCTGAATCCAGCGGTTTCTAATAAGTAAAATACAATATGTTTATTGAAATGTTGATATCGAAAACGATACCTAGGTACTACGTTTATAGAAAAGTATTATCATAATAATAGGTCTTTACCTATGAAATTGAAGTTTTGCATGAAAAAATTTAAAGGATTTTTTGATTTGAATAGCGATGAAAATGTAACACTAATCAATAAACTAATGACTACTTTTGAAAAAAGAATCCCATGTTTTTAAAACACAATTAATTAGCCTTAGCCTAACAAAAACTATCTTGATTTGAAATGGCCAGTACTGCAGAACGGCAATTTCTTAGGTAAAGACCTATTATTTTTACGTCTACCAAATACTAAAACATAGGTAGTTATAACTGAAAAAATATCTTGATAAAATCTAAAATTTATTTATATCCTGAAATCAGAAAGTATGATTACTTATATTTTAATACCCAAGTCATTGTACTTATTGAAAAATCTAAATAGGTAATTTATTTGAACTAGGAAGCTATCCAGTTGTAACCAGAAAAGCGGAAACAAGCGATAATTTAAGTGTGTTACCTAAATCAAAACGTGTTACAATTTTATAACGTTACATACAGTAAAATAAAAACAATAAAACTAAAGTAATAAAATTAAAATTGGATGAGAAAATCTTTCCTCACAGAAACGACATCGTGATATGTTGAATTTTTCATATTTTCTTCCCTTTTTAGCATATTTTTTGACGCAATGTTCTCATGTACAACTTATTCTGGACAAGAAAAGTAAGTTACTTAATTTTTATGAATTTAAGTTGTCACCGTTATCGCCATCAGTTGACTGGACAATCTCTTTACATGAGCTGCTGTTTACATGTGAACATTAACTCATGACGATACCTAAGTACGTGTGTCGCCTGGACAGTCACCGCTACCATCAGTTGACTGGACAATCTCTTTACATGAGCTGCTGTTTACATGTGAACATTAGCTCATGACGATACCTAAGTACGTGTGTCGCCTGGACAGTCACCGCTACCATCAGTTGACTGGACAATCTCTTTACATGAGCTGCTGTTTACATGTGAACATTAGCTCATGACGATACCTAAGTACGTGTGTCGCTTGGACAGTCACCGCTACCATCAGTAAGCACTAAAACATTGGTGGCAAGCTTCATCATCATATCCTATTTTTTAACACGCCCAATTATAAAAAGTTTAGTTGCGCGAAATAACTTGCTAGCATTCGAGAGATATATTATATTGAAACCTAAGACTGCAAGTTAGCGTGGTCGTCTAGAGAAAATCTCTCAACTAAAGAGAAAAACTAATTTGTTACATTTTTTTATGTAATATGGCGGCTAACGAGCTGACCTATACCTGATGGTAAGCAATCAGCGCCGCCCACGGACACCTGCAACAACAAAGTAGCCACGAGTGCATTGCCGACCTTATGGGGATTAGGGATTGGTGAGGAATTAGGGAAGGGAAAGGAATGGGCCACCGGTAACTTCACTGAAACGTCGAAACACAACGCTGTGGTTGTTTCACCCCGGTTTTCTGTGAAGCTGTGGTAATTTAGCACCGTAATATTGTCTATACTATGAGTCAGTAAGAGACCAACCGGGCGTGGAGTGGGAGAAGTCATTTAATATTTTTTCTTTCTCAAAATATGGGAGGGTAACAATATTATTGACGAACTTTTGTGTTTTTTATTTCAGTGCTAACAACAAAAATGTTTGTATTTTGGCCAAATGCGACCGTACCGTTTTATGTGTACCCTGATCATTTTGGTAAGTTTTATTTTATGAGTAGGCCGGCAAACGAGAAGAACTGGGTAGGTAGTTTCCTTGGTCAAAAATAAATTAATTCGATGTTTCAATGCAATAAAATATTGAAAAGTAACTAAGTATACTTTTATTCATCGATCGATTAATACGCGAAGTTTTAAATATTATTTAGTATTTTTTTAAGAAATAAGTAAGCTATTTGACGCAAACATACTATGACGTCATAACGCAGTGTTTCATAGAAAGTGTATAAAGTATAGTTTTTGACATTTGGATAAAAGTATTGAATTTGACTAGTTGGAAACTACCGTATTGCTTAAAACGATAGACCATAACTATCATTTGACTCATAAACATTATTTTAAGCCGTCTAAAAGGAGCAGGTTTCTTATGCCTATTTCTTATTTCTTTACCTATGTTTGTTCGCGGATAACTTCGCCGTTTATTAATCAATTTTCATTTTGTTCTTTTTTTAAGATTACGAACAATCAATGGCGATATTGAGTGCTCTAGCAGACTTCAATTTTAAAACATGCATTAACTTCTACCCTGTATTGACTGCACCCAAAGACGGTCAGCATGTTTTGACCTTTGTTAATCCTAATGGCATACGACGGTGCAAGATTAAAACTGTAGGACACTCCAACCATTTTCCACATGTAAGAATTATTCTCAATCCAAACTAATAGGTATTATAAATGCGAAAGTAACTCTGTCTGTCTGTCCTTTCTTCACGCTTAAACTACTCAACCTATTCGTGTGAAATTTGGTACAGACATAGTTTGGAACTCGAGAAAGGACATAGAATAGTTTTTGAACTAAAAATCTGCCGGACGTCACTATATCAGGCGAATATACCTAGTTGCGGGCAAAAACTAGTCTTTTATAAGTATTGCTAGCTAAAAGTAATTGAAAAAGAGTGACCATGGAGTTTCTTGCTCGTTCTTCTCTATAGGAATCAAAGTGAATGTCAAAATCTATTCCAACTAAACCATAAATAGATAATTTTGAAATGTCGAAATAGGTGGTCGTTCCAAAGTGTTTTTTTTTTAATATGTGATAGGTCGGCAAACGTGCAGACGGATTACCTGATGGTAAGCAATCAGCGCCGTCCATGGACATTAGCAACAACGGAGGAGTTACGAGTGCGTTGCTGACCTTTTAGGGATTAGAAATTTGGAGATTTTGGGATAGGAGAGGGCAGGATTGGGCCTCCGGTAACCTTACTCACACGTTGTGGTTGTTTCACGCCACCGGTTTTCTATAAGGCTGTGGTATCACTCCGGTCAAGCCGACCCATTCGTGCCGAAGCATGACTCTCCCACACTTAGAAGTGTAGATTCGAATGGAGAAGAACGAGCAAGAAACTCCATCGTTATACATATAATGTTGGGCTTGCCAACCTTCCGACAGGTAGGGTCCTTAGGTGGTGATGGATGGTAGACGTGTCAATGAAACACAGAACTACATGTTAAGGTATAGTTAAGGCAACTAATACCTAATAAGAAGTGCCAATACTATATATTTTTATCAATATTTGTTTTACAAGATTCCTGATAGGTACATTATATATTTATCAGCATTTATTATTTACATTATATATCATCGAGCATTTATTTAAGGATTGGCAGACACAAAACAAATGTGGTAACTAGTCTCGACATGTTTTTTCCCATCTAGATAATATTATAGTATGTATGTTTCAATATATCCATACTTAACATGTATTATTTATTGTATTCGTTAACTTATTTTATGCATATCTATTTATTTACGTGTAAAGAATCGTGTTTGTTTCTTCCTTTTTCTTTCCCCTTTCATTCTGTTCTAGGACTCTGTGTCCTTGCTTCGCACCAACCGCAAGAATTCTCTGCACTGCCCTATGGTTGACTGTTAGAGAATGCCTTAAGGTATTAAGTCCGCCATTCACACTGTTTGTATGAAGAAGAAATAAATAAATAAAAATAAATAAAATAAATATTTTCCAACAGCTGGTTGAACTAGGCTATGATTGTATTCGGTCTCCTCTCATTGAAATGATGATCATGAGAGCGCTGGGCCTCCCCTTCGAGCATAACCGGATGAGCAGAACTGTGTACATAGATGTCTTACTACAAAATGTTGAACCTGGTAAGATTTACTTTCTCCTTATAATTTTATATAAACGTTTTGCCATATAAATTATTTCCTAGTTATTTCTAGTGTAGACAAAAATTACTACAATGGCTATAAAAATAAGGGTTGATTAGAAAGGAGAAAATTGAGGATTGTATGAATTTTTTTTATGTGTTGTATCATAAAAAAATAGAAATTAAAAATGTTGTCTAAAAATATTAAAAAAATTAGGGGTGGACTACCGCTAACATTTAGGGCGATGAAAAATAGATGTTGGCCGATGAAAAAATTTCATCAAAATCGGTCAAGCCGTTTCGGAGGAGTACCTATGGCAACGAAAACTGTGACACGAGAATTTTATATATTAAGAAGATCTTTTGTCAACATAAAGTGGCTCTAATCCCACTGCAATTAGGCACGCAATGGTCTATACCTAAGGACTTATAATATAATCAAACTGTAACATTTTCATTTTTACAAGTTAGGTAGGTACCTAATAGGTTTTTTTAAATTACTAGCTGAGTAACGCTTACACTTGCGCTAAAATGCCGCTATCCGCGAAAAGCTCAAAAAAGAAACTTGATTTTTTAGTCTATGGCAGATACGCGCGCATTGGAAAACTGATTACTTTTTCCCGCCATTAGATTTTTTTTATTTTTATTTAATTGTTCGGCAAACGAGCAGACGGATTACCTGATGGTAACCAATCAGCGCCGCCCATGGACACCCGCAACGGAGGAGTTACGAGTGCGTTCCGACCTTTTAGGGATTTGGAGATTTAGGGATTGCGGAGGGATTGGGGGCGGGGAAGGATTGGGCCTCCGGTAATCTCACTCACACGGCGAAACACAACGCTGTGGTTGTTTCACGCCGGTCTTCTGTGAGGCCGTGGTATCACTCCGGTCGAGCCGGCTCATTCGTGCCAAAGCATGGCTCTCCCACACTTAAACAAAACATTTTTCACAACTCGTCTCGTTTTCTCTTTTGAAGTGTTTTATAAGTATAATTTTATTAAGAAGTGTGTTGAAAAAAGTCGTATGATACACGTGTTTATTGATGATTACCGCCTTCGGCTCCTCAATGCGCCTCATCGGTAATCACTAACTTTACACATTTGTACCCAATGTTTTAATTTTCCGTACCACTGAGTGAGTGTCAGACTCTTTTTGACTAAAAACAACCCCGTTCCTTCTCCTGCTCTGGGACGAGGTGGCGGTGCCTCATTGCGCTTACCCCGCAACCCCGGCTGAACATCAGCCCTATAGGGCCCCGTCTGTGGTGGTCTATTGGCTCTTTTCTTCACAGAACGCAACGCGCCGTACGCTTGGGCCTGGTTCGGGCTCCACCCTGTGCATGAGGAGCCATTTAATGATTTTCCCCTCACAAGAAAGCCCTTTTAAGCCTCATCTGGAGTGATCTATTGGTCCTAAATCATCCTACGTTTGTGGACAGCATTGGACCTGGGATATAATATAAACAAGCTGTGTATTTAATTAAATTACTGTAACAGAAATTATCGGATATCCGTAACCGCGTAACTGAACCCAATTCATTCCATTCCATTCCATTTAAGTGTGGGAGAGCCATGCTTCAGCACGAATGGGTCGGCTCGACCGGAGTCATATCACGGCCTTTCAGAAAACTGTCTTGAAACAATTACAGCGTTTTGTTTCACCGTGGGAGTGAGGTTACCGGAGGCCCAATCCTGTCCTTCCCCAAAATTTAAATATCCGAAACCGTCAACCCCAAAAGGCCAGGAACGCACTCCTAAATCCTTTGGTAGTGTGGTTGTCCATTGGCAGCGCAGAACTTACCATTGCAGAACTGCTTACCACCAGGTAAAAAGTCCGCTTGCTGACCTCTTTCATAAAAAAAAATACAAATAAAAATAAGTCCAATGCAATCGTTACTAAAAACAATTGCATAATCAACTCAATAAATACCTACATATACTTAACAATAAAGAAATTTATACAAATAAAGTCTGCGGTGATAACACAATACCCAGATACGTGTAATGTATTTAATATTTATTATTAAATATCTACAGAAAACCTGATAACGTTATCTATTGACAAATAATTTATAGAAAATGTGTGTGAAGTTGTATGTTTGTTAAAGTCATTCGCGACAGAAGAGATTTAGTTGACATCGGGAAAGAAGTAGACAGCGTGTTGTAAGTAGGGATTTAACCAATTGAAGGATGGAAGGATTGGGACTCCTGTACCTATAACATATACATATAATATAACTAGCGGACCATCCCCGAAAACCCCCACATATGTACAAAACAGCGAAATCATTAGGCCCGTTTCCGAGATCACAAGCATTTTCAAGCAATCAGCGCCATCTGCCGGGCTGATTTGTGAATCTTAACCATCCAGGGCGCCACTCAAGCCCTTTAGGAGGAGTTCAATGGCATACACACGTACAACAGAATTATATAAGTATATAAAGATATGATACGGCTCACACGGCGAAACAAAACGTAAGTGAAAGAAAGAAAGAAAGAAAGAAAAGATTATTCAGCACCAGGCACGATGCAGCATACCTATATAAAATATAAAAAAAGACGATAAAAGTGTAGTGTCACGCCGGTTTTCCGCATGGCCAAATGACACTCTCGTCGAACCGAAGCATGGATCTCCAACACTTCCTCTTCACAGATACAAGTAATAAAAGACAAGACAAAAAGGAATATTGATTTTCGCGAAAGAGTAGACTCTAAGTTATATATAATCAACTCGCTTCACATCAGTTACGAGTCACTTAAAATAGGAGTAGTAGTAGATCAGTTGCCACTAGCCAAAAAATCGATAAAAATACCTCGACCGAGGAAACAGACCCGAGGCTCTTACTTTGTCAGTTTCGAATACTCGACAAACGAGACAGCTAAAGAAAAAAAACACCAATCTAAAGCCACGGGCATTAACTAGTACACGCAAGATAAACAAAAAAAAACAGAACACAAGCGCAGAACAGAGATAAGAGGACAAATAAATCCATCAGTACAGTGAAAACGTTAGCGAAAACAAGATGTCGGATCCTGAATTCAAATTGTACTCAAACGTATTTATAGAAACGAATATACAATGCGTTGATTACGATGCCGTTATCCTCATTCTATATCCAGAAGATCTAAGTGTGCCCTTGCCAAGACACATCGGAAGTTTTATAGAGAAGATCTCCAAGGTCGACAAGCATATCCACAAAGCTGCAACCGTCTGGAATTGTGATTATGTATCTGGCGGCAGACTGGTCCTGTCTCCAACTGGGAAGATTTCACCTTACCATGACGCCAAGGTTGTTCGAGACGCTGCGTTCAAAGGTATGACCAGAGCGCTAGAAGCTGGAGCAAAGAAACCGCTGCTTGTCGTTCAGAATGTCGTCAATTTTCCTGATGGACAGCTTGTATGCATCCTGGGAGCGCTAGAAGCTCTGTACGTACCCTTACAAACAAGAGAACGGGACGCACCGAACAATTTCTTAAGAATCGGCTTCCATTCTGATGAAATATTAACCGATCGCTTTGAGAAAACAGTCCGCAACGCGCTTGCTCTGGAAAAATCAAGAATTTTGACTAGAGATATAGCTGGATCCGATCCTGAGAGAATGACTCCTGCTAACATTGTTAACTATGTCAAATCATCCTTTAAAGCTGATAGCAATATAACGATCAAAATAATTGATGATCAAGAAACAATTGCTGAAGAATATCCTTTACTAGCTGCGGTTGCAAGAGCATCATCTCAAATCGAAAGACATAAGCCAAGAGTGGTTGAACTAGAATACAAGCCTTCAGACATTACTAGGGTAACTCAAACCCTATTACTGGTCGGTAAAGGCGTTACTTACGACACTGGTGGTGCTGATTTGAAAATTTCTGGAAAGATGGCTGGCATGTGTCGAGACAAAAGCGGTGCAGCGGCTGTGGCAGGGTTCTTGAAAGCCTGTTCCATATTAAAACCACCGCATTTAAAAGTGAAAGGCGTCCTATGTCTATGTAGAAATTCTATAGGCGAAGATTCTTATGTACCGGATGAATTATTGATATCGAAAAGTGGAAAAACTGTTCGTGTGACCAATACGGATGCTGAAGGGAGATTTGCGATGGCTGATGCATTGTTCAAGATGGGAGTTTTGGCTGAGAACGAACTTAATCCACATTTGTACACAATTGCTACTCTGACTGGTCATGCTAGATTATGTTACGGAAATTACACAGCAGCTCTCGATAACCACAGCGCTAGGGGAACTAACCACGCAACGGCTTTACAGTTTAGTGGATCAAGAGTCGGGGAAGGATTCGAAGTGTCCTTCATCAGACCTGAAGACTTAGCAGTCAATAATGGCAAATGCAAAGGCGAGGATCTAGTTCAGGTTGATATGGAGGCAAAATGCCGTCATCACCAACTAGCTGGAGGGTTTTTGATCAAAGTTGGAGGTTTGGAAGATAAAAATATTAAGTATACACATTTGGATATTGCTGGTGCAGCCGGAACGTCGCCTTCTGAACCGACTGCTGTGCCAATTTTGAGTCTGTGCCACGTTCATAAAGTTTTGATATGATTTGTTTTTCTTTTTACCATGATATATATTTAATTTTGGAGTTTTCTTATAAGTTTTGTATAATTTTGGTGTTGATTTTTATAACTTTGTTTTAATTTAATTTATGTTTCATAAGTATTACATTTATAAGCGAAATTGTATCAAAATCATTCGATTCATTTTTGTGCCTAAATATTTCTTCACAAATGTATAAGTTGTTCAAAACATTTCACGGATTTTTGTTTTGTATAAAAACTATCATGTCTTCAAACTATTATCAAAATCAATCTAGTTTTAACGCGACTTAAGCTAACACTGTAATTATTTAGATTAGATAAAACATGAATTTTGATAAAAACTTTGTTATTAGTAGTCCTAATAATTTTTATGATGGATGTTTGTTATTCTCTTACGAAACAACCATTGAACGACGCACGTAAGAAATTTGGTACTGTCTGGAATAATAGATACATGTCATTTTTCCGAAATTGCGGGCGAAAGGGCTGGCTTTAATGTGCACTCTACTCTGATGACTATTAAATAAGCAATAAATATTTTAAAAGTGTAATGGGACATTTCTACTTACTTCTACCTGTTTGGCGAATCTAAAGCTGCTGTTTACATGTGAACATTAGCTCATATCGATACCTAAGTACGTGTGTCGCCTGGACAGTCACCGCTACCATCAGTTGACTGGACAATCTCTTTACATGAGCTGCTGTTTACATGTGAACATTAGCTCATGACGATACCTAAGTACGTGTGTCGCCTGGACAGTCACCGCTACCGTCAGTTGACTGGACAATCTCTTTACATGAGCTGCTGTTTATATGTGAACATTAGCTCATGACGATACCTAAGTACGTGTGTCGCCTGGACAGTCACCGCTACCGTCAGTTGACTGGACAATCTCTTTACATGAGCTGCTGTTTACATGTGAACATTAGCTCATGACGATACCTAAGTACGCATGTCGCCTGGACAGTCACCGCTACCATCAGTTGACTGGACAATCTCTTTACATGAGCTGCTGTTTACATGTGAACATTAGCTCATGACGATACCTAAGTACGCATGTCGCCTGGACAGTCACCGCTATCATCAGTTGACTGGACAATCTCTTTACATGAGCTGCTGTTTACATGTGAACATTAGCTCATGACGATACCTAAGTACGTGTGTCGCCTGGACAGTCACCGCTACCATCAGATGACTGGACAATCTCTTTACATGGGCTGCTGTTTACATGTGAACATTAGCTCATGACGATACCTAAGTACGTGTGTCGCCTGGACAGTCACCGCTACTATCAGTTGACTGGACAATCTCTTTACACTAGCTGCTGTTTACATGTGAACATTAGCTCATGACGATACCTAAGTACGTGTGTCGCCTGGACAGTCACCGCTACCATCAGATGACTGGACAATCTCTTTACATGGGCTGCTGTTTACATGTGAACATTAGCTCATGACGATACCTAAGTACGTGTGTCGCCTGGACAGTCACCGCTACCATCAGTTGACTGGACAATCTCTTTACACTAGCTGCTGTTTACATGTAGTTGTTGCCAAGGGATTATTATGAAGAGGTCAATGCTTACAGATATCGATTACGAAGTAATTTTATCTTTATTTGATATTAATTTAATCTACGGCTAAAGATAATAATGCAGATGTCTTGTTGTCAACATCGAGCTAGAACAAATAAATAAATATTATAGGTTTATAAATTTGTTTGTCTTATTTGACCTTCTTAATAACAAAAATCATTGTTCGTCGGATAACTCGGCAGCACTAGCTATACTGGTTGCAAACTGACACTTGCGTGCCTGTCTTCAGAACGGGTCCACTCAAACTGCTGTGGTTCTTTCATCAAAAGACCACTACAGAATGAACTTGCACGGTTTTCTCATATTATGTTATTTTAAATTGTCTGGACTTGAAAAGAGACTGACCTCTGAGTTTGTTTCGGCATTTCTTCTCAGAGTAGTCAGATAGGAAATGCCGGCTTCATCTAGTTTTTCACATATAAATTGACGTGTAAAAGTGCCGTTTTATGGCCTATTTGCAAAAATAAATTCATTGTTTCAAGCTACTCATTATTCTCACGCTACTATTAAAAGTGCCTTAAGTGGCTAGCCAACCCTCACTGAGATATTTGCATCTCGCCCTCATACTTTCATTCTCTTCTGCCTCAGACAACACACACCTCCTAAAGTGTAACAATAAATTCCACATCTGCTATTTGATAAATAAACTTAGTGATATTTCATCAACCCAAACCTAACAGTGTAGATCTTACAAGACCATTCAATACCTATACTACCCCTTGTGGTGAACTGTCGCAGATATTATTGGCCTACTATCCAAAATCTCTGGCTCGATCTCTCTTTTTGAGAATAACTCCAGTGTCACAAAGAGATCTCAGAAGGGACGGAATGGTTTTTTGACAGGTTTTTTAATGACAACATATAATGGTTTGTAAAACTGTAAAAATATTTACTTATAATAGATAGAAGAAACTAAATTGAATCCTTTGCAAAACTGTCGCCTTGCGTCTAAGAAATACTTCAAATACAATACCTATTGCAAAGAAAGTTGCGAATTCGAACCGTGAAAAATAACAATGTGACTTTTTCCGTGTGTACTTTCTGAGACTATTATTTAGACTTTTATGTCAGTATAAAGGAAACTCTTACTGACTAAAAACCCCCGTTCCTTCTCTTGCCGAGGTCGCGGTGCCTCATTGCGCTTACCCCGCAACTCCGGCTGAACATTAGCCCTATAGGGCCCCGTCTGTGGTGGTCTATTGGCTCATTGAGGCGCGCGCGGAACGCTACGCGCCGTACGCTCGGGTCTGGTTCTGGTCGGGCGGCGAGCTACCCTTACTCGCCGTCTGTAGACACGCACTTATGGTGGCCGGAGATCGTCGCTCGATCTCTGTCGCCCGTGAGGAAGACTGGTCTTATAAGTTCTTAGTCGTAAAACCTCCTTGAGCTAGCGTCATCATTAATTCTCCGTGTGATAAGAGGCTTTTGCTCAGCAGTGGGCACTTATATGCTGACTAGTTTCCGCCCGCAGCTTCACACGCGTCTAAAAGTAACGTTTCCTTTAATTATTTTTTAAACATTGATCTCGCGTTTCCCTTACTATATCGTAATGCAACTAAGCTTTAAGTTTACTAAGGCACTTGCATGCCAAATTTCAAGCGTCTAACTTAATCGGTTTAGATTTTTCATACAAATGGTTTTTCCGCTAATTCCCGTTCCCGTGGGAATTTCGGGAATCCCTTTCTTAGTGCTCCTCTACGGTACCTAGGCTACGCCCCTCCCAAATTTCAAGTGCCTACGTTTAGCAGTTTAGGCTGTGCGTTGATATGTTAGTCAGTCAGTCAGTCCATCCTTTTATATATTTTAGATGATGATATTAAAATTCATGATTCCTGTCCAATCCAGATGCTATAGAACTGTTCACAATGGACGGAGTGCTACCACCAGTTCTAAGGGGGCTGCCATATGACATCAACAGCGTCATGCACTTCGAAGAACGAGACTTCAGCAAGAATGGACATCGGACTATCAAATTTAAGGTTTTCTCTGATATTTTAATGTGATACGTCAGCCAACGAGCGTTACTGGACGGATTACCTGATGGTAAGCAATTGACGCCAGCCATGGACATCAGAGGGAGAGGAGTTTCCTTTTAGGGTTTCCGAAGATTTAGGGATTGGGGAGCGGAAGGATTGGGCTTCTGGTATTCTAAATTACACGGCGAAAAACAACGCTTTGGTTATTTCACACCGGTTTTCTGTGAAGCCGTGGTATTACTCCGGTCGAGCCGATCCATTCATGGTGAATATAGCTCTTGGGTCTCCATGGGCGGCGCCGATTGCTTACTATCAGGTAACCCTCCTGCTCATTTGCTGCCCTATCCAATAAAAAAAAGCATTCACTACGCTCAGGAGCCGGTTTGGGTATAAGTATTAACCGATTTTACAAAAAAGAATGCATCTCAGCTTCACCTTTATGTTGCACACTATGAAAAAAATAACTTTTAGGTTTTGAAGATAGTTTTGCCTCAAAATCAAATACATCCAAGTGGCGACTTGGCGTTCGATGTAGAGATCTAAAGAGGAGGCCTTTGTTCGTCAGTTGACGATTTACTTCAATTATATCTACCACTTAAGGGGATTAAACCTTTAGTACCTAGTTTCTTGATACCATTTCTAGATTGGTTACTTAACAATCCTATTACAGTCCTACATACTATAAACACGAAAGTTTATAAGTATGGCTTTTTTTTAATGTAATAAGTCGGCAAACGAGCAGACGGATTACCTGATGGTAAGCAATCAACGCCGCCCATGGACACCCGCAACGGAGGAGTTACGAGTGCGTTACCGACCTTTTAGGGATTAGGGAAGGGTCCGGGAAGGGGAAGGATTGGGCCTCCGGTAACCTCACTCACACGGCGAAAGACAACGCTGTGGTTGTTTCACGCCAGTTTTCTGTGAGGCCGTGGTATCACTCCGGTCGAGCCGACCCATTCGTGCTGAAGCATGGCTCTTCCACACTTAGCATGGCTCTCCCACACTGAATGTTTGTTACTCATTCATGCAAAAACTTTTTGACAGATCTGAATAAAATTCGTCACAAAGATCTGTCTGGAATAACAAGACATAGTCATATGAAAAATCTTTTTGCCTTGAAATCCACCGGCTCCACTAGTATCATATAACACAGAAACAACCAATTCTAACCTCCAAAAATTCCTTTCAGAACCCTAAAATGCATCAAAACCGCGTCGGTCTGACAGCAAACGATTTACGTAAAATAGAACTTGTATACGGTCCAGAGTGTCGCACAAGGGATCGTCAAGAGAAATTGGAAATGTGTCAGTCTTATCCCGGCCTAACAAGACGCAAGAGAGATTTAAAACCTAATGCTAATAGAAATCTTAGAGTAAACAGGAATATAACACCACCACCATCACTCTTAGCAAATTCAGAAGAAGAAAAAACACAAGTAGAATATAATACTACAGATGCGAAAACTGATGACTTACATATAAGTCTAAACGCTCTAGGAATAGCCAATGAAACAGAATATATAAAAGAACAAGTCTTCAGGGTATCTGCGTTAGCTTTGGAGAACGCTAGACAAAAATATTGTAATGCAACTGCAAATCTATCTGACGTCATTAAACCAGTTCTTAACCCTGGAAGAAAGAAAGGCAGTCCAACAGATATATTAGGAGTACTAGAAGTTGTAGCAGATTACGCTCAATCGTTAGTAGACCATGCTGTAAAGAATCTTACGACGTTCTGCGAGAATTCAAAGTCGATTGAGGAGTACCAACAGCTATGCGAATTGAGCGATAAGTCACGATGCCCCAAAAGCTATAGGTCCAGAACTGCCCCTCCAAAGACGAGACGGAGAAGAGAAGTGTCTGCCATGGCCACAGAAGATGAAGATGAAAGAGATAAAACTGTAATAGACGCTGATTCAGCAAAATCGGAAAGAGGTCATAAAAAGAAGGCAGGAAAGTATAAGACTGATCATAAAAAACCAAGGAGGTTTCTAAAAGACATTCAGTATAGGTGAGTTTGTTTTTTAAATTATTTTTAATAAAAGATGTTTTAAAAAAGCTGGGGTTTGCGGGCCAAGGCGGTGGTTTCGTTTCAAACACAATAATTTACCGTGGCCGGCCTGGAGCAGGAGAAAAAACGGAGTGGTTTTTTTATGGTAAAGATCGGCAAACGAGCAGACGGATTACCTGATGATGAGCAATCAGAGCCGCCCATGGACACCCGCAACATCAAAGGGCACGGTCACGAGTGCGTGCGTTGTGCGTTTTGGATATTTAAGGATTGGGCAGGGAGGAAGCCGTGGGACTCGCACGGCGGAATATAACGCTGTGATTGTTTCACGCCGGTTTCCTGTGAGGCCGTGGTATCACTCCCGTCGAGCCGACCCTGACCTCGAAGCTTGGCTTTCCCACACTTAGTAAAAGTCTAAACTCACTCTCAGAGAAGCCATTTGATTTCCTAAGGTGCCGTCCACATCAAAGTGCCTACTGCTGAGCAAAAGCCTCTTCTCATTTGGAGAAGGTTTGATCTTAATCACCACGCTTGCTCAAGGCAGATTGACAATTTCAAAGTTATGATTTGAAATTATAAGTTCAGGTTTCTTCACAATGTTTTCCTTCACTGTATTTCAGTAGTCTAAATAATCATAGAAAGTACATATAACTCGGAAAAGGTCACATTGGTATCATCATACCCAGACACGGAACAACAATTTGTGGATCACACAAAGTGTTGTTCCGTGCGGGAATCCAAACCGCAACACGTTGCCCAACAGCCAGTTGCCCTCTCACTGCGACAGCCATGCAGTCAGATTCGCCAGAATAATGTCGAGAGTTTAATAATAGATGGCGCCACATGTCTGTTGTCTGTCAATAATGTCAATACGAATGCGAGACGATTACTCGTTAGGGTAGCACCGCGGGTGAATTCAATGCGGTAGTTTCCAACTAGTCATATTCAATACTTTTATCCAAATGTTTAAAACAATACTTTTTATGAAGTTTGTATGAAGCAGTGAGTTGACGTGATGACGTCATAGTATTTTTGCGTCAAATAGTTTACTTATTTCTTTTATTTTTATTTATTTTGAGGAACAGCAAACAGATACATTATAAAGATTTACAACTAGTTTAACAATTTTATGTTGTGGTCATAATGTAACCCACAACGCTGTCCACAGGTAGACATACAAATTTAAAAAAAACGAGTTATAAACGCTAGGCACATTGATAGCATAGATTTCTTAAATATTAGTTAAAAAATATCTAAAATTAAGTACCTATATCGATCGATCGACGAATAAATGAAAATTTATTTGAATATTTTATTATATTGAACCGTCGAATTAATTTATTTCCAACCTACCCAAGCTACCCTATTCCTGATTGAAAGATTGTGTTTTTTCGAAATTCTTTACACTTATAGACAAAAGTATATAGGTAAAAGTCCTACTCAATTTTAAAAAGACTGTTAAAACAACAGTATTCTAAATTTGAATAAATTCTCATTTTGCAGAATCCGAGAAACTAGGCTGAATTGAAAACCCCTAAATGTCAATGAAGATATTATTATTACACATATAAAATATATATGTTTGTTTCTTTAAATAAATTAATTAAATAAATAAATGACTATCATGCAGTCTATTGACTTTTTATTTTCCTTTACCATTATAGAGGTTTACAATCGTGATAGTTTTAATACTACTTAAAATGTGGTCAGTAGAAATATAATTGAGAATAAAAAACTGTACGATTTGTGTGTGCATGATATTTGGTAGGTAATAGGCGTAAGGTCCCCGGAAAGAAGGCGCCCTCCATGCGCTCCTCATGCATGAGGATGTGGGTCCACAACCTGGCAATTACCAATGTGACTTTTAGATGTGATTTAGACACCACTGACATACGGTGAAGGTAAACATCGTGAGGAAACCTGAACTTATAATTGAGCAAGCATGGTAATTACCTAATGCTCAAACCTTCGTCGTGTGATAAGAGGCTTTTGCTCAGCAGTGGGCACTTATAGGCTGATGATGATGAGGTATATCTACACTGTCTCACATATTTTCAGAGAAAATACTCCAGACTCAGCCGCAAGCGAAGAGCTGGATGAAGATTCGAATGTATCTCTGGACAAAGCTGGTGATCCAGTCACCAAAGAGGTTGATCTAAAAGATACTGGTAAGTTATATATGAGACTAGCTACTCCCGCGTCGTTTTAACATGCTGCTCTGCTCTCTCAGATTGTAGTGTGATGTTCTATAGCCTACTAGCTTTTGCCCGCGACTTTTTTCGCGTAGTATAGTGACTTTCTGAAGATTTTTGGCTTAAAAACTGTCCTATGTCCTTTATCGAGTTCCAATTTATGTCTGTACCTCTCATACAAATAGGTTCAGTAGTTTAGGCGTGAAGAAAAGACAGACAGACAGAGTGACTTTCGCATTTATAACATTAGTTTGGATAGCCTTCCCTGATAAATGGTCCCTGTAGTCCCGGAGATTAGCGCGTTCAAACAAACAAACAAACTCTATAGCTTTATAATATTAGTAAAGTATAGAATAAAGACTTATGCGCAATGAGGCACCGCGACCTCGGCCCAGAGCAGGAGAAGGAACGGGGGGGTTTTTAGTCAATAAGAGTCTGACACTCTCTCTCTCACCTAACCCGGGGCGGAAGAAGTCATTTGATGATTTTCCCCTGACAAAAAATGGGTTCCATTTAAAATGTATAAAGATTTCGCTAGCTGCCAATTATGGGATCTTTAATTTATCAAACCCGAAGCGATCGCCGGCGACCGCTCCTCAATAGGAGCGGTCGCCGGCGATCGCTAAAGGCAACACCTAATTTAATTTGAAGAACAATTTCTTCAAATTAAATTAGGTGTTGCCTTTATATTTCTACAATTAAGTTACTTCACACTTTGACCCTTTTCCTATACTTTCCTACAGAGAAACAAACATAGCATTACGTGTACAACTATTTTAAGACTTTCTAAACAAAAAACAATCGAGTACCTAATAATAGTTTCTTTTTTTGCATATTTAACTTTTCTTATGTTTTTAACTCATCAGAATTCTCTTTGTTATACGAGAGGTAGTATACAGGTTTCTGATATGCCAGTTATATTTCAAATATCATATCATATACTAATATTATAAAAAGAAGTAAAATTTGTAAGTTTGTATGTAGGGGGTAATCTTTGGAACCGCTGGTCGGATTGCCAAAATTCTTTCGCTGATAGATAGCTACAATCTTCCTGAGTGTTTGAGGGTATAAAACATCACGCTACGATTAAATGGAGCCGAGCAGCGGATGTAGCTAGTAATTCATAAAACAACACCTTTCCTGAAATAAAAATCGAAAACCCTTTTAATTCACAATCGACCCCGGCCGCCTTAACCTCTTGTAGGTACCCTTAATCCCTCATTAGATACTAGAACAGCTAACATTAAAATCTTAAATAAAACACAACTCAATTTTCCACCAGAAATCGACACAGAAAACAAATTTAAAGCAGACGAAGAAGAAAGAGAAACAGAAGTAGAAGAAGACAAAGAAGAATTTGTAAAAGAAGCTATAAACGAAGGTCTGGACTCAATGTTAGCTGGAAATAACGACGAGGAAAATGACGAGAAAACAGCATCAGAAGAAGATGGCATAGATGCCGAAGGAAAAGATACTGATGTTATAGACGAGGTTGAATCACAGAAAGAAACAGAAGAAGTTGATAAAGAAGAGGGTCTGGATGTTGCAAAGAGTGAGGAGCAGTCAGCGAAAGAAGTTGAAGAAGAAGAAGAGATTGCAACTGTAAGACCAAAGAAACATAAAGTTCGGGAGCAAGTTGTGGATTTGTCGGTTGATAGTAATGATGAACGTGATGAGTAAGTGTTTCTTTTGAATATTAAATATCGTAATTTAATGAAAATAACGATTTAATCGGGGGAATTAACTGAGAAAAGCTCTACTGTGTTTGAGAGCCAAGCTTCGGCACGAATGGGTCGGTGGGCGGCTCGTATCTAGTGTGTACAATTACGAGAGTTTTTAAGTAAGTAAGTATGTTAGCTTGCCACAGTTTTTCTACCGACAAAAGACGCATTAATGGGTTAGAAAGCAAATAAAAATGGAACACATCTTCACATCATTAGCCTATAAGTGCCCGATGCTCTTCTCACATGCAAAAGTAACTCGGTCCGTCTGTCTTTTCTTCACGCCTAAACTACTGAACCGATTTCTGTGAAATTTGGTACAGGCATAGTTTGGAACTCGAGAAAGGGCATAGGATAGTTTTATACTAAAAATCTGCAGTAAGTCACTATTCCACGCGAACAGAGTCGCGGGCAAATGCTAATAATAGTTATATTTGAAGCGGTATAAAGTTTGCCCGGTCAACTTAATCAACATAAAATGGTGATATTACAGATACAGACCGAAAAAGAAAGAAAAGAAAGTTATAGAACATTCAAAAAAGAGGAAGATATCACATGTCAACTTGCCTAAGACTGTCAAACTGAATAAATTGAACAAGGAGTTCTATAAGGAACGTAGATGGCCCGACGGTATAGTCAGATACGTTATCAAGAAGTTACCTGGTTGTGAGTACCCAATTTTCTTTTTTAAAACCCTCTCCCACATTTTGATTTTCTCCTGTGTCTTAGGAGCGTTTACAAACATTCAAATTCACTTACGCAAGAAAGAAGAAAGAAAAAAACCATTTATTTTACACACAAATGACGCAAGAAACAAATACACACGAATCACACGAAAACAATGAAAATAAAAAAGAAAAGCGCTGCAATTGCATCACTCATGCGTGAAAAGGGGCAGCGCTCAGCATAAATGCTGTTTCTCGAGCACGCAGGCCTTTTTTGTGAAGGGAAAATCATCAAATTACTTCCAGGGTGAGGCGGGAAGCAATGTCAGACTCCTACTGACTAAAAACACCCCAGTGCCTTTTCCTGCTCCTTCTCCTAGGCAGAGGCTGCAATTACTAATTGCGCTTATCCCGCAACCTCGGCAAAACCACCCAGATCTGACAACAATTTTTGGGCCACACAAAGAGTTATTCCGTGCGGGAATCGAAACCGCGAGATTTTTCAGTGCACCCACCGTGCAGTCTATTGATTAAACCCGCGAATTTGTCCGCCTAAAATTTGATTATTGCACGGCAACACTATACCGTATCGAGAGATAGAAAAAGACTTGTTGTTAATTAATGTAGCCAATTTTGAGATGGAAATGTCATCAAGTGAAATTTATATAGAGGTTAGGATGATTATTCGTTCCCGAAAGACAAAGACAAAACAATTATGTATTTCAATTCATTTAGGAGACCCTTTATGGTCAATAAATTACCTATATATGGTTGAGTTACTAAAGTTTAAAGTTTAGGTTGTTTAGAATAAATGTTCGAATATATTAAGACAATTTCAAAAAAACAATCTTACTAGCGAACTCGTTAAAAACAAAAGTGTTTTCTGGTTGTTGCTGAGATTTTATAATCGTGAGATACCATCAAGGTTTTAGTATAAAAGTAATGGGAATCGGGAATCCAAAGAATTAGATAACTTAATGTAGTTACCACTTTCGACTATTGAAAGGCATGGCGTTGTATTACCTATATAGCATATTATTTGTTTGAATAATTATGCACCGCTTATCAGATACCAACGCGATTAAAATAAACATACTGCTAACGCCATCTAGCGGTTACGTCTCACAACAATTGAAAATGGTGACATTTTTGGCGCCAAGTTCAACTTCTCGTGAATAGTCACGAAGACAAGATTTTTTTTATATTGATGTGTTAAATAAGTAACGTTTTTATACATTGATTTTATGATTTAAAATAAATTGTTTTACTGCCGCCATCGCAGCTGCCCAAGGACATTGGACACCCACAACACCAAAGGAGTAACAAGTGCATCTATTTTAATTTGTAGGTTTTTTGGGGATTTGAGAATCGGGTATACAATAATACTAATTACTACCTCCCTACCACTAGTTTGCCCGCGTAGTATGTTGATAAAAAGCAGCCTAAGTGTTAATCCAGGGTATCACCTATCTCTCGCCGTCCGACCAGAACCAGACCCGAGCGTACGGCGCGTAGCGTTCCGTGCGCGCCTCAAAGAGCCAATAGACCACCACAGACGGGGCCCTAAAAGGCTGATGTTCAGCCGGGGTTGCGGGGAAGGCGCAATGAGGCACCGCGACCTCGGCCCAGAGCAGGAGAAGGAACAGGGGGGTTTTTAGTCCGCTCTCACCTCACCCTGGGCGAGAGAAGACATTTGATGATCTGCCCCTCGCAAGAAAAAGAGCATCACCTATATACCTTAACCAAATCGGTCCACAGCTGTTTTTGCGTGAGAGATTAAGTAATATAAGTACTTACATCGATACATTGTTACAAACTTTCACAATTGGGTAGTTTCCTATGTCAAAAATAAATTATTTCGACGTTTCAATACAATACAATATTGAAAAATAACTATACTTTTATTCATTGATCGATCGATACACTAATTTTTATATTTTTTTTAGCTAATTACTAAGAAATAAGTAAGTTATTTGACGCAAAAAAGTTATGACGTCATAGCTCAGTTTTCCATACAAATTTCATAGAAAAGTATCGTTTTTGACGTTTGGATAAAAGTAGTGAATTTGACTAGTTAGAAACTACCGTATTATATTAGGTAGGTACTAGCTACTCTCGGGCGGTTTCACCCGCTGCTCAGCTCCGTTTAGTCGTAGCGTGATGTGTATAGCCTATAGCACTCAAGAACATTGTAGTTATGTATCAGTGAAAGAATTTTGGCAATCCGACCAGCGGTTCCGAAGATTACCGCCTACATACAAACTTACAAATTTTACCTCTTTATAATATTAGTATAGATTAGTGGAACTATCAATATTAATTTTTGTTTACTACTACCTCAATCCCTCCCAGATGACCTAGAGGACCTTCGCAACAGATTAGCTGAAGTCAACAATATTTTATTGAAAAAAACTTGCGTCAAGCTCGTTGAGGTGGACTCCAAGGAGGCGAGAGGATATGACGACTACTTGGTGCTGGACAACAGCCCTGATTACGTCACTGGAAGGGTCGGAGGGAAACAGGTGGGTGGGACCGAAAATCATTCTTTCTTTTTAAGCATGTTTGAAGTTTGGTCGTGGGCAGTAACCTAACCTAACCTAACCTTTTTTTTTTTTTTTTTTTTTTTTTTAACGGGGGGAAATCCTCATGGACTTCCTCCGCCTGGGGAGAGGCGGAGGGGCGTGCCGGACTCTTACCGGCTAAAACCACCCCGGTGTCTCCTCGCACGTGCGCACGGGGCCGCGGGAATCCACATTCTTCCGCAGCCCCACACTAGTGCTGGCCCGGTCTGTCCGGGCCTCGTCTCTAGCACGGGGTAGTGAGGTGTTCGACTACCCCGTGCATCCTCTTAGAGGCGCGCGTAGACACCGCGCGCGCCTTCGCCTCGGGAACCTAACCTAACCTAACCTAACCTAACCTTGTAGCAACTCCTTTAACACTCGTAATACCAAAGGAGTTACTACAAGTGCAGTGCAATGATAACAATGAAAATGGGTGGAAGATGATTCTTAAGGTTGTATGGTATAGGTTAGCAAACGAGCAGACGGACTACCTGATGGTAAGCAATCAGCGCCGCCCATGGACACTCGTAGTACTAAAAGAGCCACTAAAAGTGCGTTGTCGGCCTTTTGAGGGTTATTAGGGATTTAAGAATTAAGAAAAGGGGGAATGGATTTGGCCTCCGGTAGCCTCAGTCACACAGCGACACACAATGCTTTGGTTGTTTTATGGCGGTTTTCTGTGAAGCAGTGGTATCACTCAGGTGGCTCGAGTAATTATGAAGCACGTGGATTGTTTACTTAATAAACGCAGACCAAACTGACGAAAAGTTGAGAAATAATCAAATCTAGAATAATATAGCTCCATCCCTCTTTCTCGCCCGGAAGATTGACGCTTTAATACGTCATGATAGGCACCGAGGTATCTAAATTGATTTTATTTCAACGACCGGCTTTGGTTCGCACGGGAGCAAATCTGATACTATATTTCTCCACTATTTAATGTATGTTATAATTCATAACAGTACCCTTCACGCTATCTATTAAAAAAAACTGCATCAAAATCCGTTGTGTAGTTTTAAAGATTTAAGCATACATAGGGATAAAGGAACAGAGAAAGCGACTTTGTTTTATACTATGTAGGTAGTGATTCTCCTATCCGTCGGGTAGATGCAAAATAATATAGGTAATATTACTGCGTTTTTTTTTAATTTTCAATTTAGTGTAGTAATCTTAAAGTTGTACGGTTTTTAATATTTAATACAGGATACATTTCAGATGTCGGTTACGCAAATTTTATTTTTAGATACAATCAACACTAGTACCTATTACAAAATCAATCTACAATAATTTTAAATGTTTAATTAAAGTATGAGTACCCTACTCAATGTCTTTCTAATTAATATAACTTCAACAATATTAATACAAATCGTTTCTACCTTCCGATAAAATAACAAAACGCGACTGTTTAAAAAAACGCTTACCGTGTGACAGAGATGACACTAAAATATCCTTATTAGAAAAGGGATAGAAATATAAATATTGAAAAGAGAAAGCATTATTTTATGTGGTCTGTGATTATAAGTGCGTGAAGGACGGAGAATTGGCGGGATTTTGACGTTAATGACGTAACGAATAGGGTTACCAGGAAAATGTATTCTGCTTTTTATGTGGGTGATTTCTTTTATTTTAGAAAATATTTTAAAATGTTGATAAATTATATGTATTTTACGAAACGTCAAAAAATGATGGTAAGCCATGACAACATGACTAGGATGTTTAGTCGTCCGCTCCTCACCAAGAAGTATGAGAGTTCTAAACTTAACATTGTGTGTAACCAAATTGACTTTATTCTAATTGTTTTATTACTTTCTAAGATTATTTAGGCATCATTCACGGTGAGGGAAAACATCGAGAGAAAAACTGGACTTATAATTTTTCTTTATCATTTTGAAATCGACAATCCGCCTTAAGTAAGAGTTTACCTAGGTTAATACTCAAACATTATCCGTGTGAGAAGAGGCGTTTGCTCAGCAGAAGCTACTTATAGGCTGATAATGAATAAAACACTATTTATTTATATCTTTGGCTAAGTTTATCACAGTAACAACATTGTGCGCCTGAAATCCATTAGCCTTTTTTGGCTTACATGGACAACTCGCCTGGCACAGCAGCCAGTTTCTTAGCTCCTGCGACAACCGTGCTATCAGGAGCAAGTATAATATTTTACGGTTCAACTTCACCTGTATTTTTTTAACTACTTAATACATCCGTGATGTAACAAAAATATTTTTAAAAGCACACCGATGGTGTTTCCGCTCATTCGTCTTCATTGCAACCTATAGCTTGGAACGAGCACAGTTTCATTGGCCTTATCCAAGAGGAAAAAACCGGCAAAGATAGCAAAGGTGTCCCCAAAATAAAACAGTGAAAAATACCGAAAGGCAATAGTTTTACCACAAAATACGCAGCCGCAGGATGGATATCTTTAACGTCCCTAACTTAGATTGATTACAATACTAACAAACGAAAAATGAAACCTTTTAATTTTGGGGACACCAGAAGGAGTGTCATACTCACTTAAAATAACCCTGCTGTTTTTTTTGCTCCGAGTCGGACCGCGGCAGTTCATTTCTCTTGACCCAGGTCGGCCATTATGTGTATTAGTGCGACTATTTACAACATAAGACAAATTAACATATCTTAAATAGCTGCAAAAACCTTTATTGTACCAAAAACTGAATTTATAATTAAGGCAAATTTAATAACACGTGCTTGCAACCCCATTCTAGTACATTCTCCTGTATTCGTTCTGTGATTGGTCAATCAAATGGAAAATTCTGGCCGCCCATTGGCCGAGTATATAAATAAGATCGGGTACCCGCCAAATTTAGTATTTTGAAAAAATCGTGTCGAAAGTGACGCACTTTGTGTGAATAAGTTTGAAAATTAATTAAATACGAAAAAAATGGCTGCGATCGGCATCGATCTGGGTAGTACGTATTCGTGTGTCGCCGTATGGTGTGGACAAAGTGAAATGATTGAAGTGATAAAAATCGAAGAAAAAACTTATAGTATGCCTGCGTATATCGCGTTTACCCCCAAGGGCCGATTATTCGGAGTTGAAGCTCGAGACTATTCAGTTTTCGATCCTGTGAATACAGTTTTCAGCGTGCAACGTTTACTTGGGCGGCGGTACGATGATTTACAGGTGCAAATGGACATGCATCTGTGGCCTTTCTCAGTGACCAGTAGAGATGGCTGGCCAGTGATCACTGTCGATGACATGGGAAAGAGGGTAACATATACCCCACAACAAATAACAGCCATCACCATTTTACACTTGAAAGAGTTAGCTGAAAAACATATCAAGACTCCAGTGACCAAAGTTGTGATCGGCGTACCGCCATTTTTTAGTGAAATCCAAAGAGATGCTATGCGGGAAGCCATTGCCATAGCTGGCCTTCAAGTCTTAAGGATAACGAACAATTGTACTGCATCAGCCATAGCGTGTAAATTATATAACGCAGAAATAAACAACGTTGTAATATACGACCTAGGCGGTTCAACGGTGAACGTGTCACTTTTGGCTATTAACGGCTCAGTTTACGAAATGAATGACAATATGTTTACCCTTAGATTAGGAGGTAAAGATTTCGACAGCCGTATTCTAGCGTATTTCGCAGAAGACTTCCATAACAAATTCAATGTATCTATTTTAAACAGTCCTTCTGCTAAAAGACGGCTGAGACTAGCTTCCGAAGAAGCGAAATGGGCTTTCGCAGATCCCGCTATTCAGGAAACTAGTATTAATATTCCTAGTCTTTGTGAAGGCCACGATTATACGCACATCCTAACAAGAGATATTTTCGAAGCCCTATGCTTGGACCTTTATAAGGATACTCTTAAATTATTGGATAAACTCATAGAAGAAAATGATATGGCGAAAACTGATGTCAAAATGATTCTAGCTGTGGGTGGTGGCTCTAAAATAACAGCAGTTAGACAGGTTTTATCTGAATATTTCGAATCACGTTTGGCAATATCTACGTGCACTAACCCGGATGAAACTGCGGCCGTCGGAGCAGCTATACAAGCCGCCATTCTCAATGGGATAACCCACAGCTCTATAAAACACTCCGTTTATCCTGATAGACTTCCAATGTCTTTAGGCATAGAAGTGTCTAGGGGTATTATGCTAAAAATGATAAACAGACATAAAATTATCCCATGTACGGCAAATAAAGAGATACCTACTACAGAGGATTTTACAACGGAACAGACAATTAAAGTCTATGAAGGCGAAAGGCTTGTTACGGAAGATAACCATTTCCTAGTTAATCTTGTTGTTGGTGACTTTACACCAGATTTGAGAGGCGTTGATAATATACTAGTTGGTTTTGACGTCGATTATCATGGGATACTAAGAGTTTTTGCAAGAAGAGCTCCTTTGGGACAACTAGCTGAAGAAATCGTTAGCCCCGAAACAAGAATGAACGCAGGACAGATAACCGAAATGCTTCAGAATCTGGAGTTAAGCCATAATGTAGATATAGTTAACAAGGATCGTTTAGATACGAGGTACAAACTAGAAAGCTTTATATTTGATGTGAAACGTCAAATTATGCAAAGACCTGAACTTTTGAATGAAACTGAGAGTCAATCTATGAGTGAAGAGTTAGACAGAGCCATTCAATGGTTTAACCTAAGCATGGATTGTCCTAAAGAGGAGTTTGAAAGGAAATTAGATAATTTGACGTACAGGTGGCGTGAAATTACAGTAAAAATATTTGATAAACCATGGACTTATAAACCGATCGCGTGATAAGTTTAAATATCAAAATTTGAATTGTGAAAGTGACATTACGAAGTTTTTTTTAAGCCGTGCCTCTATAATTCCGGTGGCTGCGTGTGTTTAAAGGAATATGAGCTCTAAATTAGTGTCGGTAAAGTGTCTTTTCAACTGTAATTGTAAGTAACGTATTTTTTTAAAGTGTTAAAACACTCGAATCTTTTAAATTTTGCTTCGTGTATTCTTATTGTAAAAAAATATCTTAAGACTTAGCCTAAGGGCTGATTTGTCAATGGTTATATAAAAGTTACCTGGGGAACTGGGGGACAGTTACAGCAACAATTTTATTCCTCAGATAACATTTATCTGACTATTGAAAAATCTTCCCTAAAAGTAATTAATGTAAAATTATATGAAGGCAAGTTCGAAAATTTAAAAATTTCGTTCGTTTTAACACTGTCCTTTAAAAATAGCATTTACCTAATGTATTTTCAAAAGCTTTTCCAATTATTACTAAACTAGAAATTGACACGAAACAAATGGATTTCAAAGTTGAAAGTCAAATAAAATACTTCTTTCGATATGTCAAAATCCATTCCTATACATTTAGGCGGCATTAAAATTTTGTATAAAATGTCATTTAATCAGAATTACTTATTTTTTGAAATCTTTATAGATTTATAAGTGGAAATAAGTAACTTTTCTAAATGATTATTCATTCTTATTGGCATTCGGTTTTTTTTTTTGGTTATCTACTTAGTTCCATACATATCGATGTCGATTAAAGTTTTTATTTTATAGTTTTCCTAAGTAATCATATACTTGACAGTTTTCTTATTTAAAAACAACATGTCTGTACGAAATTAGGTTAAAAGCGAAAAAGCTAAAGTTACAAAACCGTTACCAATCAAAACAATTTTTTTTTTGTAAAAAAATATATTTGGCGCCAATTTTGTATGTTTGTATTATCTGTGTACATTTTTTAAACTATTTGTTACGTATTTATTACATGATATTAATAATGGTTCCTAGGTAAACTTTCACAATTTTAAAGGTAATTTAGATAATAATGTATTATTCGAGTTAAAATTATTGACAATATAATTGGTTGTGACAATATGTATGTAAACCCTTCCATTTTATTGGTGTCAAAGACGTGAATTAGAAGGAAGGATATGTATTGTGATGGATTAAGCTCAAACCATTGTGATAATAATATATGACATCCTTCATAAGTAAGGTAATAATGTGATAATGTTATTAATTAAGTAATTTAGTTGTCTTTGTAAAAAAGTATTTTGTTCCTACCTTCTATAATTGAAAGATATTGTGATCAATCGAAAATGTGATAGGTACTAAGTAAATTTTAAAGTTATATAGAATCCACGATTACGTAAATATAGATAGATATTAAAATAGAGAATTAAAATCTACCTGATTTTAGGTAAATGTGGATTCTAAAAATCACTTATTGTAAGGCCACATACTTAAGTGGAATAATTATTGTCTGTTGGCACGATTTTGACGCTATAGCCATGCCAAATATTATATGGATTTTTCTTAAAAGTCAAATATTACTATAACATAAACTAGGTTAAATCGATAATTTTGTTCTTAAATTCAAATACGTAGATTTAATAGCATTTTTTTGTTTTCAATAGAAAATCATCCTTATTCATGCCAAAGACACTGAAAGTCAACTTTTTAATTGAACTAGAAAAGAATAATATATGTCAAGGCTTGTTCCAAAGTAAAATTAACCTAATGTCGTAGTGTTGAAAGTTTAAAGTTCAATCTATTTTATAAACTTTTTCTGCCTTTTCATAGCTTTAGGAATAAGTAGGTATAGGTAGATATAATTCGACCAAAAAGGTTTGTATTCAGCCACCATTTTGTAAAATGAACTCTTGTAGTTGAATGAAATTTTTTGACAAAAATCAACATGATTTGTAGTTTATAAACACGTAAAAAGACATTTTAAATATTAAATGACCTCTGAGTAGTTTTTACGAAATAAATGTAACTTTATTACCTACCTTTAATTGTTTTATTTTTATAAACACGTTACTCACTTTTTAGTAATAGAAAAAAAAATTTCAAACTTAATTTTCTTTCATAAGTATTTTTGTGTAAGCTAGATATATACAGATAGTTAGCGAAATAAACAAGAACAAGTGTATAAGAGCCATGCTTCGGCTCGACCGGAGTGATACCACGGCCTTACATACCAACGGCGTGAAACAACGTTTGTGTTATGTTTCGCCGTGTGGGTGAGGTTACCGGAGTCCCAATCCCTATATCCCCAACCCCAGTACCAACATGTACCTAAATCCTCAAAAGGTAGGTAGGTGTTAAGGGCAGCGAACTTGTTACCTACTCTTTCGTTGTTGCGGGTGTCCATGGGCGTCGCTAATTGCTTACCATCGGGTAATCCGTCTGCTCGCTAACCGACCTGAATCCATAATCTATGGAATGGTTTCTGTTTTTGACAGTAACTCCAAAGAAGTAATGCATCTCAGTCATATTCTAAACACATCAGAAACAGGTTCTAACGATGTATTGTTCCAGATCTTCGGCTGCGTGGAGCTGTTCAAGGGTGATCAGCATATACAGCACACAGCTATGATGGTCATGGCAATGCTGGGGTTCTATTTTGAGGTGTCCAGACATGATCGGGACCGTCATATTAGGGTGCATATGCGTCATATCCGACCTGGTAAGTTAAGGATCGTTATTTAATCATTTATAGCTTCATAGAAGAAAATGAAGATTTTTTGTCAGAGAAAAATCATCAATTGTCTTCTTCCGCCCAGCGTTTTTTTTGTGAGGGGAAAATCATCAAATGACTTCTCCCGCCCAGGGCCGGACGGGAGGGAGTGTCAGTCAAACCCCCCTGATCCTTCTCCTGCTCTGGGCCGAGGTCGCGGTGCTTCATTGCGCTTACCCCGCAACCCCGGCTGAACATCAGGCCTATAGGGCCCCGTCTGTGGTGGTCTATTGGCTCTTTGAGGCGCGCGCGGAACGCTACGCGCCGTACGCTCGGGCCTGGTTCTGGTCGAGTGCCGAGCTACCCTAACTCGCCGTCCGTAGATTCTTGCCCACGCTGGCCGGAGATCATCTCTTGATCCCCAACGCACGGAGTGTCGCCCACTGCGACGGCTAGGGCATGAGGACGAGGATAGATCCCTCACGCGGTCCGTCTGCGAGCGTAAATGCTTCACAGAAAGAGGAGATAGCTTCTAAGTTCCTCTCGCTCCGCACATGGCTTAAGAAAATGTAGATAAGTTGGCCTTATGCTTTGAGCATTCTCTACAAGCCTGATCTTTGGGTGATGAAGAGAAAAATACGGATCGCAGTTGCAAGAAGCCAGCAGGAAATTTAATTGAAGTGTACCACGATGCGTCTTTCCTTTTCTTTTCTTAGTCCTTTTCACCATCATACCAACAGGCAATCGGCAAAACTTCATCGCTTTATGGTGGATATCCCACTCACACGCACCAAGTGGTCCGGCTCCTCGGCTCAGGATAATCAGAACCGCTAAGGAGTGGAATTTTTTGCCGGAGTCTGTGTAACCCGAAGGGTATAACCTGGGGTATTTAACGCCTAATTCAATAGATTGCTTATGGGTAGGCGTGCTCCATCGTAAATTGCATCATTGCTTACCATCAGGCGAGATAGAAGTGTAATGGCAGCTCAGTGCAAAAATAATCATCAGCGTTGACCAAGGACATTGCAACAACACAGTCAAGACTTACAAGTGCGTTAGTGGCCTTTTTAGGTTGTTAAGGGTTTTTATGTGGTAGAACAGCATACGAGAAAGCGGATTACATGATGATAAGCAATGACCATGAACACCTGCAATAACAGAGGAGTAACGAGACCTTTTGGAGATTAGAGTTTTGGAGATTTAGGGAGGGGAAGGTTGGGGCCTCCGGTAACCTCACTTACACGGTGAAACACAATGCTGTGGTTGTTTCATGCCGGTTTTCTGTGTGGTTCACACTTGATTATTTAATTATTTTAATTCACAGAAAAGCTTCACCATTTTGAAAAGATACGCGAAGAAGCAACTTTGGCCTTGCCATACGACTACAAGAGCGCGACGCACCCCGCTTGGAAGTTCTGGCGGAAAATAGGCAAGACTGGCATATCCACAGTGGCCACGTATAAAGATCATGTAAGACGATATTTTTATTTATGGTATAAGTCGGTGACCTGATGGTAAGCAATCGGCGCCGCCCATGGACACCCGCAACAACGAGTGCGTTGCCAGCCTTTTGGGGATAACTCTTATGGGTTGCGGATATAAGGATCGGGAAGGGATAGGGAAAGGGGAGGGATTGGGCCTCCGGTAACCTCACTCACACGGCGAAACACAACACTGTGGGTTGTTTCACGCCTGTATTCTGTGAGGCCGTGGTATCACTCCGGTCGAGCCGACCCATTCGTGCCGAAGCATGGCTCTCTCACACTTAAATACTTTACTTACTAACATACAATTTAGAAAGTAGATTACGTTTACACACCACCCCTTTGAACTCTTCACCTGGATGTACACTCAGAGGCGGCGTAAGGCGTGGGTGAGGTGGGCCACACCCAACGGTCTCTCGGTCACGTTGCGGGGGCGTTACGCCTCAAGAATTTTTAGCTTTCATCTTTAGGTCGCCACAGAAAAGGGCCTCGCAAAATCTGTCTTGCCCACATTAAAATCAGATCTTGCCCCGCCAATGTGTACACCGTACACGACCCGGCTGACACAGTCACATTAGGATTTTCTCCTGTGTCGTGGGTGCGTTTACAAACATACAATTTCAGATACACATCACACCCAGACCAGGAACAACAATTTTTAATTCTCACAAAGAGTTGTTCCGTGCGGTGGTAGAATCGCGCCAACCCTGCAGCAGACTTACCAACTACATGTAGTAATGGCGTTCTCTGAAAACCAATTATTTCCTGTGGTACCTACGTCATATACCCCTGGATCATGAAAACATATCTCTAGGTAGACCCTTTCTCTGAACCCAATGTCTAACTGTGGACACTAACGAGCTGCTGAAAATAATTATCTAAAAACCCTGAAGTCTTTAATTGGTTAAGTTACATAGTAAATTTACCTATTTCGACTTTGAGCAGACGGATTACCTGATGTTAAGCAATCGGGGCCGCCTATGGACACTAGCAACACCTAAGGAGTTAAGAATGCGTTGCCGACCTTCTGGGGATAATGGTTCGGAGATAATTAAGGATTGTGCCTCCGATAACCTCACTCACACAGCGAAACACAACGCTATGGTTGTTCCACGCCGGTTTTCTTTGAGGCCGTGGCATCAATCCGGTCGAGCCGACCCATTCGTGCCGAAAAATGGTTCTCTTTCACTTTACTAATACTTACCTAATTTAAAATATTCTATTTCCTCAGGATCCTGATGGCTCAATAATGAGATCTCTTGGTCAAAACCAGGAATTACTATCGGAAGGTGACATTATTAAAATAAACAGCGTGTACGGGGTCCACTGTTTTCTAGATAAGAAAGAGTCTGAACGAATGAAGAAATCCAAACATAAATCGAGGAGTTCGAAAAGACATAAGGATAAATATGAAAAATCATAAATAAAATACCTAAATTAAAAACTCTTATTGTTGTTTGTTTTTTATTTATCTATACTAATATTATAAAGAGGTAAAATTTCTAAGTATGCATGTAGGGGGTAATCTTTGGAACCGCTGGTCGGATTGCCAAAATTCTTTCATTGATGGATAGCTACAATGTTCCTGAGTGTTATAGGCTATAACACATCACGCTACGATTAAATGGAGCCGAGCGGCGGGTTAAACCGCGCGAGAGTAGCTAGTACACAATACTGTAGTTTCTAACTTTATAGTCAAATTCAATACCTTTATTCAAATGTCAAAAACGATACTTTTCTATGAAATTTGTATGAAACTCCAAATTATGACGTCATAGCATTTTTGCGCTAAATAGCTTATTTCTTTTAAATTAGATAAATAATATCGAAAATTTGGTGTATCGACAGATCGATGAATAAAAGTATAGTTATTTTATCTGTTAAAAATTATAGTTATTTTTCAACATTTTATTGTATTGAAACTTCGAATTAATTTATTTTTTGACCAAGAATACTACCCAATAATATGGACCCACTCCTTCTTCAAGTCAACGTCAGAGTCTAGGCGTTTATTTCAAAACAGCGCAGTTTTAAAGATTTAAGCATACATAGGGACAGAATAAAATATTTATATAGTACAGACAGTCGAGTGCTAGTTTAAAAATACTGTGTAGGTACTTGCTTATAGTGATGGCAAAGATAAATTTTTAAATATAATTAATTTCAACTATATTCATATTCAGCAATGATACCTATGCCATAATAAAATTATTGTAAATTGAATGTAACATTATTAAACGGTTAGACTGAATCTGCTTCAGCAATGAGTCACCGCGGCCTCGGTCCATAGCAGGAGAAGGAATGGCGGGATTATTAGTCAGTAAGAGTCTGACACTCCCTCCCGCTCCCGCCCGACCTTGGCCGGGAGAAGTCATTTGATAAATTTCCCCTCACAAAAAAATACTAATTCATCATGTTTGCGTAGGACAGTTCGCCATTTTTCTAAAGAAAAAATTACGTTTTTCCTCCTTGGATGTTTAAGAAATCTTAGTGATTAGGTAGGTAGGTAAGGTACTAGACTCGCTGGCTAGAGTGATAGGTACCACGGCCAAAGACCACACAGAACAACGGCGTGAACCACACTTGGTTTGTATTTCGCCGTGTGAGTGAAGTTAATCCATGTAGGTATTAGTCTAAAACCTCCCAATTGTAATTTACTTTCATTTTTACCTTTTAAAAATGAAGGTATTCTCATAAAATTCAAGAAGTTCGTAAGTCACGCGCCCAAATGACGTTTATTACGCATGCGCAAACCAAAGAGTATGTAACCAGTACAAACCGGCACTGCGTTTCTACTATTGCCACAGATAATTAATAAAATTAACTGTGTTAGGTTAGTACATTAAAAACTTCTTGGTATTACCAATAGAATGTTTTTATATTTTTTGGTTAAACTTAATGTTAATTAATAAATATGAATACGAATAAAAATATGTTCATACCTACTTATTAAAATACAAATAAAACTCCAAGTTTCAAAGTAATACACTTATTTATAATTGATTTGATTAAAAAAATAAAAATACTTAGGTAAAGTTATAAAACATATGTTTCTTCATTTCTTTCTTCATTCTTCAAAGTTTTTCGTGAGACTGATATCGCTCTTACTAATTACATCGTACAGTATGATATCGTCTGCGTACGTGCGTTTTTTAAACACGCATTTTTCTATCATTATCAACGTACTGACTGCTGAAAGAAACAGAGAAGTACAACAGAAATAATTAATAACGTGCTAATGGCTGTAATTTTTTCAACTATGTACCTACATATATGTAATAAACTAGCTAGTTCCAGCAGATACCATGACTAAAAGTAGTCTATTTCTCTCTCTATGGGTTATTCCACATTATCTTGTACGTCTGAGCCGAAATTCATTAAAATCCGTTCAGTTGTTTTCACGTGAAAAAGCAACAAACATGCGCCCATGCTTACAAACTTTCGCATTTATAATATTGGCAGGATATTCAGAAGGTTAAACGTAAAAAGGAACAAATAATGTTAGAATTAATAAATACATTAAAGCACTAAAAATAAAATAGAGGGCTCCCGTACAACATGATTTGTGATTTGATTGTACGGAACCCTTGACTCAAACTTGATACTTGAACTCCTAAAAGATTTAATTATCTTTGATGTGGGTAAAAATATAAATGTACCTTCGTTATTTAATAAATTTGAAGATGTCATAAAATAGATAGGTAATATGATAAATACAAACTCGTTTGTTCAAAAAACGTTGCTTATCAAAGCAGTTTTGTTTTTCTTAGTCTGTGGATTGATAGATTGGGCCTCATGTAACCCGTCACGCAGCGAAACTAAACGTTAACTATGCAAACGCACTAATGTACCTTGGCCCTGGCTTGGAATAGGAGAAAGAACAGGGTAGTTTTTTATCACCTAATTATGAGTCTGAAACTACCGCCCCCAACCAGGGCGGGCGAAGTTACTTAATAATTTTCCCGCCTCCAGAAAAGAAAAGTTTCCGAGGTATCATTACTTTTTGTGGAGGGAAAATCATCAAATGACTTCTCCCGCTCAGGGTGCGGCGAGAGGGAGTGTCAGACTATTACTGACTAAAAGCCCCTTCGTTCGATCACCTGCCCCAGGCTGAGGCCTCCATATGTTATTGCGCTTGCCTCACGACCCCGGCCAAGCATTGGCCATGTTAGGCCCCATTTGTGTTGGCCTATTGGCTATTTGAGTCGCGCGCCTTGCTCGCCGACTGTAAACGTAGTGGTTACATAATACTCTTTGGCCGACTGTAGACCCGTGTTTACGGTGGATTTAGTACCTACCTAAGATTAGTGTACTAACCAGGTCTCTGAACAGTGGTAACAGTCATTCTTTCGATTTTATGCTCCTCTTTCCAATGAAAAAACATTTTTCTTATAATAGCCACGACCAAGGCTATCAAAAATATACTTAAACCGAAAAGTATTGTGTACAAAGCCATTCTGTAACGTCGATAATGTTTGGTAATACATTTTGTTGTGATGTTTCTTTATTAAGATAGTTTTTATCTATTTATTGCTATTTTCTTTGACATGTTTTTGTTTTGACAAATGTACGACTTGATGTGAAGTGTTTACGAATTTATGACACAAGTAAAAAGGTTCGGTGGTATGAAAACTTTTTTATTGTGAATAATTTTATTTATTTTAACGTTTTTTTTTATTAAATAGGTATAGTTCAGGTACCTGCTGGGTTACATCATAGAAACCTAAACTTTTTAATTTAAAAAAATATTAATTTTTAATCGTAAGTTAAACAACAATACTTACAACAAAACGCTTATTGATATTCTAATAAAACAACAAGTGTTATAATTGTAATATGAGATGATTATAAACTACTATAACCATAGCTATAGGTACAGATTTATCAAATACAACTTTAAATTATTTACTTATTTTTCAATCCCATAAACATTTTTAAACGGTTTTATTTTTAGGCTCAATACAATAACACTGCCGCTTTCACTGCGTTTTATGTAGCAAAAAAAAAACCAGATATCTATGGTACCGTGGCGCGAAATTATATTTTTTTGTTTACTAAGTTATATTTTAATCTGCGTAATTATTTGTATTTAAAATGAAATTACAATAAAACATGTTTATTGCATTGGATATTGAGAAAACATAATGAGTTTCGACGATTATGGTGAGTAAAAGTTTTATAAACACACAAAAATACCTAAAGTTATATGAATATCGTTCGAAGTTCACTGATCAAAGTTTATACAAATAAAAACCTGTTTGGCAATAGGTAGTCTATTTTAATCTTGCATTACCAATCACCAGGGCAAGTAAAGCTCGGTCTCTGGAAATTCAGTAAAGAAATATTTCGAAACACAAAAATAAAAACAAAACACAGCCAAAAGATTATTTTTCTTTCATCCACATACTTCATGTCGCATCAAAAGTGCCCACTGCTGATCAAAGGCCTCTCCTCACACGGAGAAGGTTTGAATTTTTATCAAAATGCCTGCTCAAGGCGGGTTGGCGATATTAGAGATTATAAGTCCAGGTTTCCTCACGATGTTTTCCTTCACCGTTTGTCAGTGGTGTCTCAATAAACTTTAAAAGAACGTAATGCATATAATAACTAAGAAAAAGTCAAATTAGTCCCGGTTTCAGGAAAATGAGCAGCCGGATTACCTGATGGTAAGCAATCAGCCCATGGACACCGTTGTTGTAACGGAGGAGTTATGATTGCGGTGCCGACCATTTGGGGATAAGGGTTGTGGAGATTTATTGAGGGATTGGGGGTGGAAAGGGATTGAGACAAACATGGACACCGTTGTTGCAACGGAGGAGTTACGAGTGCGTTGCCGACCATTTGGGGATAAGGGCTGTGGAGATTTAGGGATTGGGGGTAGAGATATTGAAACAAATACTCGACTTAATAAACTAAATTATATTATTTCAGCAAATCACATATACCAAAAACATCGTTTAGCAATAGCTTTATCTCTAATAAGGATAAAACCAAAAAATATTACAACGAAAGATTTTTTAAAACAATTAAAATCTAAATTTGGTGATAAAATGGTTGATGACGATGATGTGACAGTATGCAGTGATGATTTTTTGATGGACGATGATAACGATTCAAGGGACAGTCAAACTATATTGAAAGATTTTGATGAAGAGATCATTGGTCATCAGATTTTTCTTAATGATGTTGATGAAGTTGAGGTTGGTGGTTTTTTTTTCATGGAATAAGTCTGCAGACGTGCCTCTCTGGCCGCACAAGTGTGTGTAAAAAAGTTCCGTAGACTTGCAAACTGCAAAGTAAAGGATTACCTGATGGTAAGCAATCAGCGCCGTCTATGCACACTCGTAACACCAAAAGGCTTACTACAAGAGCGTTGCCGGTCTTTTGTGGGTGATAGGGAAAGATTTGGGCCTCCAGTAACCTCACTCACACGGCGAAACACAACGTGTCGTTTCACGCTGGTATTCTGTTAGGCCGTTATATCTCCGGTCGAGATGGCCTATTCGCATTGAAGCATGACTCCTCTACCACTAAATTATTTTAGTGGTTTTTGCTACATCATCGATTTAGTCAAAATGACATTGGTAGGAACGTCTGAAAATCTTCATCTTTAGGTGACAAAGATACCTAAATAACGTTGATTTTGTATGTGATGGAACGGCAAACGAATGGACGTATCATCACCTGATGGTAAGCAATCAGCGCCGCCCATGGACACTAGCATCAAAGGAGGAATTACAAGTGCGTTGCCGACGGTTTAAGAGATAAGGGGGCTAACCATGACGTTCTAAGTAAGGTTGTTTTAATCATACTTCAGCGTGGGTAAAAGACAGAGCTAAATAAATTGTATAAACAGTCTTACTTTAAATGTCATGGTTACCCCCAAGGGCTTTGGGGTTTTTGGGATTAAGGGGGAAGGATTGGGCCTCCGGTAACCTCACTCACACCGTGAAACACAACGGTTTCTGTGAGGCCGTGGTTGCATTCCGGTCGAGCCCAAACACTCCCACACTCAAATGCCTTGCAAAGTGTCACGGGCATCAGCACGATTATCGCACGTAACAAGTCTTTGTGCAATCCACATATTATTGTTCCGTGTATGGTGTATATGTGAAATCCTATGATTGTAAACGACACACGAGAAATTCATAGAGTGGGGCAATTTTTCATAAACTGTCACCATTCCACTGCTGTATCTATATCTTAATAAATCAATAAAATTATCTTTTTCTCTTTTTAGCCACTTCACAGAATTTATAATAATTCACAAACAACTTTCAAAGAAACTGCACACTCAAACACTGAAAATGTTACAAAAACTAATACAGTCGATATAAAAATTACTGAAAAAGACAAGAACCTAAGTAAAAACTTAACAACTCAAGATTTAAATGAACCTAAAGAATTAAACACAGATGTTATAAGCACTAATTTTGATCTTAACGCTAGAATGGAACTCGGTGAAAAATATCACAAAGATTCAAAAGTTGGAAACGTTAATGATATTTCAAAAAATGTCAATGTAGATACAGCTGCAACGTTTTACGATTCGCAGAAAACCCAAATCTACTCAGTTCATGGGTACAGTCAAAATTATACGCATTACAGTCAGAGTCAGAATAATGTTACGATTCCCAAACAGTATTTATACCAAAACAGGAATAACACTAACAGAATGGATGCCACTGATGTTGAAACTCAAGAAAATTCTGAAATAGTCAAAGAAAATGATGGAATTCATGAAAATTTTAATAATGACTGTGAAGTCTGGAATTGTAACAATGCCATTACTGAAGAAAGGATTACGAAAATAGTTCCAAATAATAATATAGAAGACAATGCATTTATAACTCAAGAAAATAACGATATATTCATTACGAATGACAATAATAAATATTCGGAAACAAATAAAGAACTAGTTGATCATCAAAGTCAATATTCCCAAAATATTGACGAATATTTTAATGAAATGCAAAATGTTCATAGTGATAAAATAACAGAAATAATAAATATGGATGTTGATGATAATGAAGAAAATAATCCTAAAAATACGATCTCAAATTCGATTTCGGAGAACACGGCGAGAAATGACGGAAAAGCAAAATTTTATAAAGTTAATCTTCACCATTTTAGAGACTTTAAGGAGGGCCTTTTGACAAATGAAAGTGTAGACGTAATTCCGGTAAAACATGATGAAAATTTTGAAAAATACTATACAAATCCTTCTCAAAATAAAGATTTGTCTGAAAGCACTGCCAAAAATGTCCATCAAAATACAGATTTTACAGACAATATTAATACAAATAGCACTGAAGAATTTCCCTCAAATAGAACAAATCTTCTTCGAAACAAGGACTTAACAGAAGAATACAGAATAACGGAAGAAGATTACGATTCAGAAGAGATAATTTCGTTTAAAGTTCTAGAAGAGTTTAATAAAGTCAAGCTGTTCGTAAGGCGACCGAATAGAAGAATGTCGTGTGATAGCTATTCTTCTGATTCGGGGTACAAAAGCGATTCACAAAGAAGTAACCGGAGTGGTAAAAATAACATATTTTCTATATTAATTTAAGTTTGGAAGAACCAAGCTTTGCCTTGACAAGAATGCTACCACGGCCTCACAGAAAACAGACGTGAAACAACCACAGCGTTGTGTTTCACCGTGTGAGTGAGGTTACCGGAGGCTCAATTCTTCCCTCCTTCATCCCTTCTCAAATCCTAAAATACCGGCAAAGCACTCATAACTCCTCTGACGTTGCGGATATCCATGAACGTCTCCGATTGCTGACCATCAGGTAATCCGTCAGCCCGGTTGCAGACAGACAGCAGACATTACAAAAAAAAAGGTCACCCCTAACAGGTAACACAAAAGTGCGTTGCCAGTTGACGGCCTATGGTGGGATATTTGGGATTGAGGATTGGGGATTTGGGGAAGCAAATTAAAGTCTTTATTGCATCTATAGTGCACAATGATGGACTACAGTTTTAACAGATGTTCCAACTATAAGTATTAATACCGAGGGTTTCGCACATAACCCCACATCTGACTTCTAAGTCTCACCTCACTCACAAAACACAACGGCGAAACACATCGCTGTGGTTGTTTCACTCCAGCATTCTGTGAGGCCGTGGTATAACTCCGGTTGAGCCGACCCATTCGTGCCGAAGCTTGGCTCTCTCACACAAACCTAACCTATGATGATAATGGCGATCCCACATTATTTAATTTTCATATTCTTTCAGCATTACAGCTATCAGGAACTTGGCTAAATCAGTCCGGTAGTTGTTTGTTCCATTATCTACTGCAGTGCCCTCTAGTGGCGTCTACCAGAGATATAACAAGCGAAATTGCACAGGTAAGGTTAATGCTCAAGCAGAATAGGGCACCGCGGCCTCGGCCTAGAGCAGGAGAAGGAACGGGGGGTTTTAGTCAGTAAGAATCTGACACTCCCTCTCGCTCCACCCTGGGCGGGATAAGTCATTTGATGACTTTTCCCTTACAAAAAAAGGGTCAAGGTTAGAAATATACTTGCGTGTCGTGACGTGTCGTTTCGTAATAGAATGCGTCACGGCAAAACATCACGAATTTCATCTCAGTACTAGCTACTCTTACGGTTTCACCCGCTGCTCGGCTCCTGAAGATCGTAGCGTGATGTTTTATAGCCTATAGCATTCAGGAACATTGTAGCTATCTATCAGTGAAAGAATTTTGGCAATCCGACCAGCGGTTCTAAAGATTACCCCCTACATACAAACTTACAAATTTTACCTCTTTATAATATTAGTATAGATCTCAATGTAAATAGTGCATCCTAAGAAAGGGGGCGTGAGGAAGGGAGAGGACGGGTGCCAAGGTCTGAATTTGGAGTATCCTGCCTCCTTTGGTGCAAGCGCCATCGTAAATACTAAACTATTTTTCAGTCCAACAATAAAAAAAAAGTTTTTTCCAGGTATTAGGTGAATTGATTGACAAATTGCATGATGATGAGAAATATCCATCGTTTTTAGAAGAATTGTTGGAAACTATAGATGGAGAATTGGGACAAGTCTTCGAGGGGGCAAATAGTGAAGAAAATGAGGTGAGGTTTTTTTTGTGATTGGAAAATCATCAAATGACTTTGGAGAGTGTCAGATTTTTACTGACTAAAAACCCCCCTGTTTTTTCTCCTGCTCTGGGCCGAGGTCGCGTTGCCTCATTGCGCTTACCCCGCAACCCCGGCTTACATCAGCTCTATAGGCCCCGTCTGTGGTGGTCTATTGGCTCTTTGAGGCTCGCGCGGAACGCTACGCGCCGTACGCTCGGGTCTGGTTCTGGTCGGGCGGCGAGTTGCCCTTACTCGCCGTCCGCAGACCCGCGCTTACGATGGCCGGAGATCGTCCCTTGATCCCCGACGCCCCTAGTGTCGCCTGTTGCGGCGGCTGGGGCGTGAGGAGGAGGATTGCTCCCCCACGCGGGCCACCTCCCTCATTGCGAGCATAACTGCTTCACAGAAGGAGGAGACGGCGTCCCAGTTCCTGTCGCTCAGGTTACATAGGCTGCATGCCCAATAAGGTACCGGCCTCGGCCTAGAGCAGGAGAAGGAACGGGAGGTTTTTAGTCAGTAAGAGTCTGGAAACTCCCTCTCGCCTCACCGAGGCCGAGAAAAGACATTCGATAATTTACCTCACTCTAATACTGTGCAACGCTTCGCGGGCTCGATGCCCACATGGAACAACTCTTTAAGTGATCCTCAAATTACTCGACGATCTACTCGACCGAAGTAATACCACGGCCTTACAGAAAACAGGCGTGAAACAACCATAGTATTGTATTTCGCCGTGTGAGTGACGTCATCGGTAGTCCAATACTGTCCCTTTTTTTTTTTTTTTTTGGTGTCGGGTTGGAAAATCCTCATGGAGACCCACCGCCCTCGGGGTAAGGGCGAAGGGTACTGTCAGACTCTTACTGACTAAAAACCAACCCGGTGTTCCTCCAATAACCCATGTGTCGGAGGGGCGGGTATCGCCGAAGCATTCGTCGCAACCCCCCGACGGGTATTGGCCCGCCAGATGGTAAGGCGGGCCCCGTCACCCACTGCGGCCGTCACCCCGACCGCAGGACTCCACTATGAGGCGCGCGCGGAACACGGCACCGCCGCCTCGAGGCCTGCTGCTGGTCGGACGACTAGACGCCCCGAGTCTGTCGTCCGCAGGCCGCGCCCTACGGTGGCCGCAGGTCGGCCACTCTATGACGTCTAGTGCGTCTGCTGCGGGAGGGAAGAGAGGAGGCAGCCTCTCTCTCCCTTTCCGCCGCCTCCTTTGCGAGCATCACAGCCTCGCAAAAGATAGCGACGGCACTCCACCCTGACTCGCTCCCGACCATAGTAGACACTACAGCCGGAAGCGAGAGATTTCCCGCAGCACCTACGGCCGCGACCAGGTCACGGCGCTGCTCGGCCCAAGCTGGACATTCCGCCAACGTATGCAGCGCCGTATCGTCGCGGCAATTACCACAATGGTGGCACTGAGACGTCGGCTCCCGGCCTATGCGACACAGGTACTTCCCGAAACACCCGTGTCCGGTAAGCACCTGCGTCAGCCGGAAGCTGAGGGCGCCGTGGCTCCTATTGAGCCACTCCTGTAGAATTGGCCTTACCGCCGCTATAGCGGCGTGCCCCGCCGTGGGTTGCGCTAAGCGCGTCTGCCACTCCGCCACTAAGGCCTGGCGGAGTTCTGCCCTGCGTGCCTCAACCTGTCGAGGCACCAGGCGCTCGCCCCGCTCGACTGCCTCCGCACGCCACCAATAGAGTGACGCGAGGAGCTTTGCGTCGAGGTCCCAGGGCGGGGATCCGGCTAGGAGGCTCGCTGCCTCAAAGGAGATCGTACGGTATCCCCTTATTATCCTGACGGCCATCGCGCGCTGTGGCCTTCGCAGCGCAGCGATGTTGCGAGCCGTCAGGGCTCCCGCCCACACTGGCGCGGCGTATAACGCCATCGACCGTACGACCCCCATGTAGAGCCTCCGGGAGGAGTAGATGGGCCCCCCCTGGTTGGGCAGCAAGCGCGACAAAGCAGCAGCGGCGCCCATCAACCGGGGGGCGAGCCGTGTAAAGTGCGGCCCGAAATTCCACCGACTGTCGAGAACGAGTCCGAGGTACTTCATCGTGGACTCAACAGCGATGGAAACCCCTCCTACTATGATGCTGGACCCCTGAGGCGGCTTCATCCTCGGCCCATGAAAACACAGGGCCTCCGATTTGTGCAATGCCACCTCTAGGCCCAGCCGCCGGATCCTACCCACGACGTGCGCGACACCAGCAGTCGCGCGTATGGACGCCTGCCGGTACGACTTCCCACGCGCTGTAACTAGCGTATCGTCGGCGTAACAAATGACGCCGACGCCGTGGAGTAGCGCACCGCGCAGAGCCCAGTCGTAGCCAACGTTCCACAGGAGCGGCCCCAACACCGAACCCTGCGGAACGCCGCACGACGTCTCTCGCCGACCCCATCCTTCTCGACCCGGGTACACCACCGACCTGTCCGACAAATAGGCCCCGACAATGCGTTGGAGGTAGCGCGGCACCCCGTGATACCGGAGTGCCTCTCGGATGGTACTCCAGGGCAAGGTGTTGAAAGCGTTAGCGATGTCGAGCGACACCGCCAAGACCACCTCACCCCGGGCGACTGCCTCCTCTGCCAGGACCCTCACGCGCATGATCGCATCCACTGTGGAGCGCCCCTGGCGGAAACCAAATTGGTTGTCCGCCAAATCCGGCCCCACCCTGGTCATGTGCTGGACGAGGCGGCCGGCAATGATCCGCTCGAAGATCTTACACACCTCGTCCAGTCCAATACTGTCCCTCCTTTATCCTTAAATCTCCGAAAGTCAACTCGGCAATAAGTTAGCAACGCACTCGTAACTTATCTGGTATTGGCCCATGGGTGGCGCCGATTGCTTACCATCAGGTAATCAAAGGTCAAAGGCCTGCTCGTTTGACGTCCTATCACTTAAAAAAAGGAGAAATCCTAATATGGGTTTAAAAAAATAGATAGTGCTACAGTGGATTGTAAACAATTGGGTAGTTTGCTAGGTCAAAAATAAATTAATTCGACGTTTCAATACAATAAAATATTGAAAAATAACTATACTTTTATTCATCGATCTATCGATACACTAAATTTTAGATATTTCTTAGCTAGTTTTAAAGAAATAAGTAAGCTAAGTATTTGACACAAAAATACGATGACGTCATAACTCAGTTTTTCACACAAATTTCATACAAAAGTACAGTTTTTGACATTTGCATAAAAGTAATGAATTTGACTAGTTGGAAACTACCGTATACGGCCTAATTATTAATTTCATATTAACTGACTAAAATTCTTTTGCAGTTTTTGAAAAAAGACGAGAGAATCCAAAGGATTTTACTTCTAAACAAATCTATACACATCCAAGCGCATACGATAGAAAAAATAACGAAAATACTAGAAAAATTCCATGATAATATTACACAAATCGATTCTACATACGAACTTCAAAACATTGACGAAATAGAAAACGTATCATACATATTCCATTTATTAGAAATTTTATTAAAAAAATACTTAAAAAACAAAAAAAATGACAGTCAGTCAGAGTCAACGACTCAAAATTATTCAAAGGAAGACGAGAAGATATTCAAGAAAAGCACAATAAGCGATATATGGCGGAAAAAGTGGAATCCGAGTCAGAAAAAAATCGAGGGTAGTCGTGAAAAAAAGTGTGCATTAAAAGTGTGCAGTGATGTTTTGAATAAAATTGTAGTCGACTGTGTTAGTAGCTACAGTTTGGTCGCTTATTCGGCGCTCAAATGTTTTAATTCGATGCAAAATTAATAAAAAAATTGCATTTATGACATTGTTTTACTAGATATCTACTGCCGATTTCACCCGCTACTCAGCTCATAGCTTGATGTTTTTTATAGCCTTCTTCAATTCGAACCAGTAGTTCCAGGGATTAGTATGCTTTCAAAGAAAAACTGTTAAGCCTTTTTGCTTAGCAAAATATTTAGCTTTAAAATATTTTTAGTAGGTGGTAGTTATATGTACATGTCTCATACCTATACCTACCATTTTGAATTTGAATTTATACGACTCAGGCTACACGCTTAATTAGTCATTAAATCAAAGACCTGATTGACTAGCTGTTTGAACGACTGAATTTCTCATTAATAAACTAGTTCTAGTTCAAGGATGAAGGGATTTTTAAGAAAAAAAGAAGTCACGAATGGGTCGGTTCAACCGGAGCGATACCACGGTCTCTTAGAAGACCAGCGTGGAAAAACAGCGTTGTTTTGTCGTGTGAGCAAGGTAACTGAAGGCCCAATACCTTAATGGCCGTCACCGCACTTCCAACTCCTCTCGTCTTGTAGGTTTGGGCAAGTATTCGTGCAGGCAAGTTTTGTGGATCGTGCAGAACCTAACAGTAGGTTTTTAAAACTGTTTCATTTTAGTAACAGCTCAGTATGAAATCGAGCCATATATACAGCCATAGGTCGGGTTTGCGGACGTCGAGTAAGGGTAGCGCGCCGCCCGACCAGCGCCAGACGCTTGCCTTATAGAGCCGTCAGAATAACAGATAGGGCCCACTAAGGCGAGTCCAACCGGGAGTTGCTGCTCCGAGCAGGAAAAGGAATGAGGTGGCTTTTATTTCAGTTCAGTAGTTTTTAGTAGTGTGGGAGAGCCAAGCATCGGTACGAATGGAGTTGGCTCGACCGGAATGATAGCAGAAAAACCACAGCGTTGTTTCGTTTTGAAGTGGCTGGAGGCCCAAATCTTTTCCTGGGGAGGGAAAGTATTTAAGCCTTTTTCAGTAGCCCTATATCTCCAAATGGCTGGCAACGCATTCGTAGCTCCATCGGCGTCTAGTCTAAAGTCAAAGATTTATCTCTAGAGATACCAGTGGATGTTACATTATGGACTGAAAATATGAGCCTATCTGAAGAAACATAGAAAGCTTAATTTAAAATAAAAAAAACAAATAAACGAACTAATTACAATTTTATTTATCATACAAATTAACTTACATTACTTTTTTCTCTGGCAAACCTAATAATTTTCTCACCGATTCTCCATATTTCCTTACCGTATCAACACTTTCTCCATCATTCATCAAACTAGACACTGCTTCCTTATATTCTTCAGCATTAGGAATAACGGACACATCAAAACTCCTATACTCATCTTCAGATAAATCTTTGAATTCATTCTTTGTACGCATGTACCAGTTAACTAAACTCTTTTTCGAAGCATTGTTATTCCATTCGTAGTACTCCATGTCTTCTTCGGTTTTATCCTTTTCCCACTCTTCCACATTCCACGCTTCATGATAACACGCAGTCAATAAATAATTCACATAATCCAAATTCTGAGCTCTGACTGGACACCGGTCTGCGGTTATCGTTACAAGATCACTTTCCTTGTCATATCGTTCTCCCACTAAACGGATAAACTTGTCTCTTGAATGTTTATCTAGTTTTAAATTTGATAGTTTGAAGCGGAGTGTTACGATTCTTGCTAAAGGATTACGGATGGATGGGCTGGCATGGCAGTAATCGGATGTAATGACCTCAACTGGATAGTGTTTTTCTATAGCTTCTTCGGAGTTTAATAGGCTTGGCCATTCAGTACAAAACTGTTTTAAAGCTTCACACTGGCTCTTGATGACAGGTGGTGTTAAATGCAGGAAGTTAGGTATTTTCATCAGTTCCGCGTTAGCCTTTTTGCCTGGTGGTGCTTGGCCTTTAGGTACGTAGCCCTGACGAAGTGGTAGCGGTACCGACGATGGATGAAATGTCTTTGGTCCAGGCCAAACGTTGCCCCATTTCTGAAATAAAAGATTTCTATGATTAAAAATTGGTTTTGGTATTAATTGGAATACTATTCAAATTATATTTATTTTTGCAAATGTGAGGACTTTGACGAAATTAAATTAAGCTCAATGAGAGAATGGATAAAAAGGTAAAAAGGCTTTATGAAATTTTTGGCCCGAAACCAATTTCGTCGACCGCATCGTCACTTCCCATCAGGTGAGATAGCGGTCAAGCGCGAACTTATAGTCAATAAAAAAAAACTCCCATCATATGTATAATCAGTCATGGAAGAAATCACTGGAATATAACGATACGAAAACGACGATACGAACGATAGAAAATTAAAATACTAATTTGATCTGTGCATACTCCACAACAATTAAATAACAAAGTAACATATTGTATGTTTTTGAGAATTATTGTTATTCTCATTAATTGAATTATTTATATGGAGTGCCTTATCACACCAAATTGCGATATTGTTAACATTTAAGTATTAGCTTTTTCATATTTTGGAACTCTGCACTTTATAATGAGCACCTAGCTTTACTGGCTGGCTACTATGGTTTTGTTGAAATAAATGACTTTGACTTTAATATTTCTATTACTGTCCTTTACTGTCTCTAACAAAGCATATTATTTATATTAAATGTTGTGTACCAAAATAATTTGACTTCAGATTTATGTACTATATACTGTCTTAATTGGGATATTATTAATAATTAAATTATTAATTATTCTTTAATAAGTGACAATAAAATCAGAAACCAACTCAAAGGTCCCCAAGAGGTTCCGAGGTACCCGAATACCCGATCTAAGTGGGCACAGAGTGAAAACTTTGCTCAATACATATATTGCCATAGCAATAGGTTAACCCTATATCCCATAGAATTCATGACAAAACTAGTGAAAAGCACTTATGGCTTCGGAGATTAAGAGGCGGAGATTATGTTTAGAAAATAATTATACGAATTCAATCGAAAAATATTTGTGTTCATGGAACGAAAGTAGTCCATCAGCTGATGACGAATAAATAATGTTTTAAATAATTTACCTGGTCTAAGGCCATTCTGTCGGCTCTATCAGGTTGTATATCAGTCCTACGGACGACTCTCCTTTGCATTCTATCTTTCTTTTTCAAAATATCGAGCACCCTAAACTCTTGTTCTTCTTCATCATCTTTTTTCATCACGCTATCGGCTGTTGTCGAATTTAAGCGCCATAATTTCACATTATACACAGTCGCCAAGCTGTTTGGCTTGTAATTTCTGATAAATAAACTCATTTTGTTTAAGTTTTATGTGAAAATTATATTGGAATCTAAAATCCCATTTTGAGGTTAGAAATTTCACAGATAAACAATGTTGTTCGAATTTCCTAGCAAAAAATGTTCCATTCCATGTAATGTTATTTTTGTAACTGTAACATTTAATTTTGTATTATTTTTGTAACTGTAAAAACTACCTACCAAATTAATGTTTTGTGTCAGTTAAATAAAGTGAATTATCTCGATGCAATCGAGATAATTCACTTTGATTTTTTCTTACTTTGATTTTGCTACCAATACTTCTATAAGTACACACTATAAAATTTTATTGTGTGACGATAAAATTATAAGCAAGCCTGCGCCGACCGCATGGCCATAGAAAGAAAATCAAAATTTTTAGGGCATCAGTATTATTTTATATGCGTTCTGACTTTTGATCGATTTCAAATTCTATAATTTTATTCTAACAGTGACGGTAAAATAATAGGCAAAGCCGCGCTCGCGCATGGCCCAAATAGAAAAAAATCTAAATTTTCGTCAGTTAATATTAGATGCTTTTTGTCTTCTGATGTGTTTGTATTATTGTAGTCGACATAAAATGATAGATAAACCCCCATTGAATTGAAAGAAACAAGAAACATTAACATTCTGAATTGATTAATTTTCAAACTCATCTTCAACAAGCGCAAGTATCCTTTTTATGCAAAATCCCCAATATACCTTTAAAAATTGATTCATAAAGTTTCATTATATAAGTAGTTAGTTGTTAGTTATTAATTAACGATCCTGATGCCATGTTATTACGCACTTAATAGTATGTAACATTTTATCGTAAACGGAACGTTTCATTCATAGATATTGTCACCGACTACCCAACATGCTTGCGTTCACAGACTATCAAATAATAGAATACGGAGCCTTCATTTTACTTGGCGCTAGTGTATACGTGCCTTAACATGAGTTAGAAAGAGAGATCCGATTAGTTTTAGTCTTTTGTTACTGATTTTTTCTTATCCCGGTTAACGTTTTGCTTGAAAGTTGAACCAGCGAGTCTCGTTTCGTCCATCGCTCGTGTACCTACCAACATTTTGAACAGTTCATTATATTTTCCTAGTGTGTGGCATGTTAGTTGTGTAAAAATGTCTGAAACTTCAAGAAAAAGGTGCAGAAAGTCTAAATTAGTGCCCAGAGAATGTGTTCTGCTTGAAGAAGAAGATTTGGAACAGCAGGTCTGTAATAAATGATACCACCATTTTGATATAAGTTTGCACCTACTTTTCCTTACTTGATTGGCAAAATTACGTGGTATTTAATTCAAGGTTTTAATTAAAATTCGACGTACATATGATTTAAAAGTTATTTAAGAGAAAAAAAACGTTAAAATTTAACTTATTTGCGGTTATATTTTGTGATAGAAAATATGGGGGTAGGTCATTGTTATAAAGTAAGTACGTCATCTGCCTAATACCAACGTAAACTTTTTATAGTTTTTATTTTAAAATTGTAAAGGAAATAAATTCGTTAGCTTAATGTAGGTACTTTGAAACAAGAATTTTATTTAAAATACGTCAAAATATCGAAGCATGGCGACTTATTTGTAACTTGTACATCAATTCTTACGATTCTATTTTTAACTTATTTTACTTTTAATTTGCTTTTTATTAGCAAATCCAATAACAACTTAATATCTACCCTAAAGATTTCAGATTTCAATTATATTTTCGTCAATTTTTCTATGAATTTTTCGTTTTTTAAAAATAGAAGTAGATTGTATGTTTTATCCTTTCATGCAATTTTATTTTTTTTTTACTTAAAAAGAGTCTGTTGACTTTGAGTTTGTTTTAATTATTTTCGAAGTTAGATATGTTTAGTTAAATTTTTTTTTATCAAAATTTTTGTAAATGTTTTTGAGAACTAAGGTTTGAATGAGAAAGAATAGTTTTTTTTATTAAATTACCATCAGCCTATTCCTATTCCATAGCAGAGCAAAGGCAAGAGGCAAGAGCCATTCCACATTGAAATAATATAAGCATTAATCACTATGTTTGACAGACGATGATTTAAAACTTAAGATTTGACATTATAAGTCGAGGTTTCTTCACAATGTTTTCTATCAGCTTTACTGAAAGTGGGCTTGGTAAAAGATAGTACTTAAATAATTTATTTAAGTTTTTATCTTTAGTTTGATGACAACAAAATTATGAATAACATTTTGACTTTGTTATGTTTTAAATAAGTCTATACTAATATTATAAAGAGGTAAAATTTTTAAGTTAAGTATGTATATAGGGGGTAATCTTTGGAACAGCTGGTTGGATCGTCAAAATCCTTTCACTAATGGAAAGCTACAATGTTCCTGACTGTGATAGGCTATAAAACATCACGCTACGATCAAATGCATAGCAGCGGGTGAAACCGTGTAATAGTAGCTAGTAATAAATATTTCAAACTGTTTACTTTAAGTTTAGCCGTGCTGCCCTGCACCGTCCATTATTGTGTTTAATTTATAAGCCAATCTTGTATCACCTACAGTACAATACAATATAGCTTTAACAGTTAATTAAAATTTATTTTGTCCATTTGTGTCATGCGGCCAAGGCCTCCTCGAGCCTTCTCCATTCTAGCCTTTCTATGCCCACTCTCTCTCTCCATGTTGTACATATAAATAAGTATAAATAAAATAAAATAAAAAAGCCTTATATTTCCCAGTTTAAAAACAAAAAAAAAATTACATTTACAACAAAAATATATTTTACATTAATTTTATTAGAGAGCCCCTGAGGTGAAGGCCTCCTCCAGAGACTGCCATTTTTCTCGATTTTTTGCTGTATCTAGCCAGCGTACTTCAGCCGCACGCAGGATGTCGTCCTCGTCGTCCTCTATAAATAAGTATATTAATATATAAACAAAATAGAAAAGCTTTTTCTTAATAAATATTTAAGTAATACATCACTAAACACTATGCCTTCTGACACAGACCTCCTTTGATATTCTCTATATTTGACCTTTCTCCATCTAACATTACTCCATGTTTACAAGCTTATTATTTACATCATAATTATCATCAGCCTCTAGTGGCCACTGCTGAGCAAAGGCCTCTTCTCACACAGAAAATTTGATCATTAATCACCACACTTGTTCAAGGCAGATTAGCAAATTCAAAGTTATAATTAGAAATTATAAGACCAAGTTTCCTTATGATGTTTTCCTTTAGCACATGTCAGTGATGTCTAAATAATCATAGAAAGTATGTGTAACTCGGAAAAAGTCACATTGGTACTTGCTAGGTTTCAAACCGAGGGGATTTAAAACCTGAACCTAGGTTTCAAACGTCCAGGCCAACGCGACATCCTTTCTTAATCTAAGTTTATTTTCCATATATGATAATTGAATATCTGCTGAAAGTATTATTTTGTTTTTTTCAGATACCATTACAAAAAATATTCATACCGGTACCGGTAAATAAAAGTAAAACAATCACACAGAAGGACCAGTCCGATGAATGTGACAAGAGTGTCTTGAAAAAAATTAATGCTGCCGTCAGAAAATCCTTGGAAGAGCAAGAACTGTGCAAAGATATAAAAGAACCACAAAGAAAATTCGAAGTGGCTATAAAAATTGAAACGTGCGATGAAGAAATGAATCCAGAGCTAAATTTAGAAGATAACAAAACTATAATAAGGCGCCATCTGTCTGATCTAGACGTAGTTCCATTACCTACTATAGAACTTAAGGCCGAAGACATACTAAAAGCAGTTGATAATATTATAAATTCTTCAAGTAATATTGCAGATAAGGCTTTATGTTTGTATGTGCGGAACACCATTGGGCAATATGTGAGGAAAGTATCAACTCCTAGCCTTCATGAGGTAATGGTTCAGGAAGCTTTAGATCAATGGCAACCTTGGTATCATCACTCCAGATATGTCAATCGCACCCCACCAATATCTTACAAGTGCTACATCTGCAGAAAATCCTGGTGGCACCTTTCAGAGTTTAAAGAGCATATTACGGAGCATAAAAATCTAAACATTGATTTTGAAAGAATAAACAACTATGAAAGTGTGTTAATAGCTTCATCTGATATTGTTTTAAATATAGCAGACATATTTACTGAAGGATTCTGTTCTCTGTGTGGAAAGGATTATGATCACCACAAGTTGTGCAGGGATGTTAACGGTAAATTCCAAGGGAATAGCGTTTGTGGGAAGAAACTTAATAACTGTTATAGCTTGATGTTACATACAGCTAACTGCGAAATTTGTTCCATCGGTTTGAATTTTAAATGTGAAGTCTGTTCAGTGAAATTTAATGAGAAAATACATTTGGATGAACATTTGGTTTTGTGTCATACGGTGAGATCGGATGTGCCTATTGGAACTGGTTTCAAGACATGCCAATGCTCAGAGCAGTATGTTTCCAAATACCATCATATTTGTATTGATAAATCCCCAAATTTTCAATGTTCTAATTGTAAACAAAGTTTTTATTATAAACAACAAATGGATAGCCATATGTTCAGTCAGGATAAGGAATATACTTGTGAAATATGTAACGAAGCCTGCTACAGGCCCTGTATTAAGTATAAACATTTAATGAAACATACGGATCAATTTATGATGGTCAGCAAGTGTAGCAATTGTCCGGGGTTGAACATATTTGTGGATGAAGAGGATGAACTGTATCATAAACGGATGAAGCATGGCCACGATCTACAGGGTATGAAGAAGCAACATTATTTTCCTAAGGTAAGAGGTTTCTATGGATACCGGGTAAGTTCGGGTTACATTGACCCTGCGGGGTAACTTTGATCCAAACCCTTTAACCAGTAATAACTGAGAACCAAACATATACCTATTCGTTTTTCGTAGGTTCGAAAATTTGGATCAAAGTTACCTCCCAGGGGTCAAAGTAACCCGAAGTTACGGTACTATTTTTTAATTTTCTGTAGCTCCTTGCACCCTTTGTGAGATGACGTGATATATTCTTTAATCCCCTCCCCTATCCCCCAATCTCACATGATATTTTGTTTAATCCCCTCCCCGATCCCCCAATCTCATGTGAGATTTTTCAGATTCCCATATTCTGATACATCACTTAATAATAACCATGATTTGTGGCAACACTAGAGAAGTTACGCGGTGTCAGTATGGCTGTGGTATCACTCTGGTCGAGCCGACCTATTCGTGTGGCTTAAAGGACTCGTATCCAGGCCATAAACTCCAAAAAAAAAAAAAAAGACCTATTCGTGCTGAAGCCTGGCTCTCAAGTGTAAAAATACTGGCAAACCCCCGGCTTCGCATGGATCCAATGCTGAGACTTACTTTCTCTACTATTTAATGGATGTTATTATTATTCAGGTATTGAGTGGTTTCAAATAATTTGAATAAGATTTCTTTCAACACTTTTATTATAACAGAAAAAAAACAGCTACTACAAATAAAAAAATGGAGCAACGAAAAACGAATGACAAAGACAACCAAAACGCCACCTGCCAGCTTTATAAAGACACCTATAAATTTACCTCTTTTCAATAATTATACATATAAACCTTCCTCTTCAATCACTATCTATTTAAAAACCGCATCAAAATCCATTGCGTAGTTTTAAAGATTTAAAAGCACATAGGGATATAGGGACAGAGAAAGCGACTTTGTTTATACTGTGTAGTGATTGACGAGACGGGTGTTAAAAATTATCAGGGTTGCGGGTGTAAGCGCAATAAGTATGGGAGAACCGAGTGGAGTAATACCACGGCGGTCACGGAGAGAGACACTTCTTTTGTCTCTCTCTCTCCCCCCCCCCATCCGCAGTCATCAATCTCACAAGAGGCAAACATTCAAACCTTCAAGAAACGAGCGTATTCCTTCTTAAAAGGCCGGCAACGCACCTGTGACTCCTCTGGTGTTGCGGATGTCCATGGGCGGCGCCGATCGCTTACCATCAGGTGATGCGTCTGCTCGTTTGCCACCTATTCCATACAAAAAAAGGCCAGCAACGCACTTGTAGTGACTCCTTTGGTACTACGAGTGTCCATGGGCGGCGCTGATTGCTTACCATCAGGCAGTCCATCGGCTTTATTGCCGACTTATGACATAAAAAAATGTACCGCGTCCACGCCTCGGAGAAGGGGAAGGAATGGAGTGGTTTTCAGTCAGTAAGAGTCTGACACTCCAGATCCTTCACACCTCAACCAAGACGAGACCAAATTTTTTTTACGGATTACCTGATGATAAGCAATCGGCGCCGCCCATGGACACCCGCAACACCAAAGAAGTTACGAGTGCGTTGCCGGCCTTTTGGGGATGGGGTTTGCGAATATAAGGATTGGGAAGGGATAGGGGAAGGGGAGGGATTGGGCCTCCGGTAACCTCACTCACACGGCGAAACACAACGCTCTGGCTATTTCAGGCCGGTATTCTGTGAGGCCGTGGTATCACTCCGGTCGAGCCGACCCATTCGTGCCGAAGCTTGAAAAAATGATTTTCTTCTCTCATTTTTTTTTATTTCCATTTATTACAGTTGCTTGTACCTGTTTCCTGCATCATACACAGTTTAAAATATCGAGCTGATATTATGCCAACTCTGAATATAAAGGAGGAAATACAAGACAGCCATGATTATTCCAGTGATGACTATCAGGCCGAAGTGACTGATATAAAAATGGAAAATGATTTCGTAGAAGGTAAGAATTTTTCTATAGACTCTTCAATAATATTTTTTTTTTTATATATAATAAGTCGGCAAACGAGCAGACGGATTACCTGATGGTAAGCAATCAGCGCCGCCCGTGGACACCCGCAACGGAGGAGTTACGAGTGCGTTGACGACCTTTTAGGGATTAGGGATTTGGAGATTTAGGGATTGGGGAAGGGTCCGGGAAGGGGAAGGATTGGGCCTCCGGTAACCTCACTCACACGGCGAAACACAACGCTGTGGTTGTTTCACGCCGGTTTTCTGTGAGGCCGTGGTATCACTCCGGTCGAGCCGACCCATTCGTGCCGAAGTATAGCTCTCCCACACTTCATAATATTAAAATGCTGAGAATGTAGTTTGTTTGCTTTACGGCGCTAATCTCCGAAACTCCTGGTTCGAATTGAACTAATCTTTTTGCGTCTGTTTTTAACCCCAGACGCAAAAAGAGGGGTGTTATAAGATTGACGTGTCTGTCTGTCTGTCTGTGGCATCCTGGAGCCTGAACGGGTGAAGCGATTTCAATTTAGTTTTTTTTTGTATTAAAGGCAATGATGTATAAAACTATAGATACGTTGTCCGCGCTCTAAAATGACAACATGAAATGAAGGCAATTGACAACATCGCGCTTAGTTACGCACCAACCTGCCGCGCGACGCTACGTTTGTTTTTAATTTATATCGTGTGTGTAAACCTGTGCGAAACATAAAGAAAGCATGCCGTCGTGTGCGTTTAGACGATGTAAAAATCATACTCCAAAAGTTAAAGACAAAAATGTGTCATTTCATGCGTAAGTTCACCAAACAACCTATTTTTATTTTATTTTTTCGACGCCGGCGCCCGCCATCTTATGGCGGCCGGCGCATGAAGGTATAGTCACGTGCCGATGTAACTGAAGATGTATATTTATCTCCCACTAAGAAAGGCATTCCACTATACGATGTCATATTTTCTTTCCCTTTCTTTACTCGTAGAAGTAGTTATCTAGTATTTTCGCCGTTTTTAAGCGCCGCGATGTTGGTTCATGACGTGTCTATATATAATACGTCATTGATTAAAGGTGACTTACGTGCTAGTGTTCTTAGACATGTTTGACGAAAATCGGTAGATTGAGCCGTTTATAAGTTATGGGGGGGGGGGGGGGGGGGTAAGAGGGGAAGGGTAACCGAAGGTCAGCAAATATACTCGAGTGGGGTCTCAAATGAAAGCGCACTGAAAGGGAATGTTGACGACTAGTAGGTAGATAATAAAATGTTCGGATCGGTCCCCCAACGGGACGGTTTTTTTAATTATTACTCTTAAAGGAATATCAGATTTTATGTCGGGGGTTTTTAAATTTTAAATTTATATTTTATAATTATTGTTTTTCTGCATTTTAACCTCGTTTTTCTGTTTCTGTCCTTCATATCTGATGCCGAATAAACGCATTATTCTTTCTTTTCTATTTACCCCATTTTTACAAAGAGGGTATTAATATTAATTTTAAGCGACTTCAATGAATTTTTTTAACGCGGCATCTCTGCTCTCCTTTCCTACCCTGCCCATACACATAGCAGCCAATAAATTAATTTCTATTTTACAGATGAGCCAGAAGATTCAGAAGGACCAGAAGATGAAGGTTTAGTTATTAAAGAAGAACCAATACGTTCAAGAGACACTTCCATGATAGATTATGAAAACTCAGATGAAGAAGAAGATCCAGACGAAGATTATAATGGTGATATAATAAAAATCAACGGCAATCATGAAAATGTCGAGGAATTTAGTAACAAGGAATATGGTGAAAGAGAAATACAGAAAGATCAAGTGGACGACATCAATGAGAAGTTGTTGCCAGACGATTCTGATAGTGAAACGACAATGGATCCAGTCTTAGTGGACGGTAGAATGAAAAATAGACTTTATTTATGCAAGAAATGCGGTTACAGGGCCAGGCATAAGAAGTTCAAGGAACATTTGGAGAGTGAATGTGGGCATTCAACGAACAATAAAAAGAACTATAATTGTTCTTATTGTGATATAACATTCCCATCTTTGGCCAAATTCATATTCCATTTCACTAACCATGGTTTTAAAGAAATGTGTTGCCCGGTATGTTATAAGCAATACCGATATACTTCTAAATTAGGCCAACATGTACATTCGCATATAAAATACAATTATGTCCGTATAAAGTTGATTTCTCATGAGCGGCGTTCTAAGTCAGATTTCCAATGTAAACAGTGCAGTGAGATTGTTAGTGTTAATAGCTATTTTGATCATTGGCAAACGCATTTAAGTCATGTGCCTGAAGAGAAGAGTAAGGAATTGAGTCAAGATACCAAAATTGATGAGCTTCCCGTTTCTGTACCTGGATGCATGTCTGAAGAAGATGTTAAGGATTGCTTAAGTGAGTTCATTTTTCTTCTAGGCCGAATGCTTACGTATTGTCGTGGTGGCCCGGAGGTTAAGGAGCCCACTTCTCATGCATGAGGGTGTGGGTTCGATACCTGGCAAGTACCAATGTGACTTTTTCCGAGTTACATGTACTTTCTATGATTATTTAGACACCACTGACATACGGTGAAGGTAAAACATCGTGAGGAAACCTGGACTTATAATTTCTAATTATAAGTTTGAAATCGCCAACCCGCATTGAGCAAGCGTGGTGGCACTTTTAGACTGATGATGATGATGATGAATGCGTACCTTATTGCGCTTACCCCGCAACCCCGGCTGAACATCAGCCCTATAGGGCCCCGTCTGTGGTGGTCTATTGGCTCTTTGAGAAGCGCGCGGAACGCTACGCGCCGTACGCTCGGGTCTGGTTCTGGTCGGGCGGCGAACTATCCTTGCTCGCCGTGATAGATTCCAACTAGTCTGTCTGTCTGTCTGTCAGTCTCGAAGTATGGCTCTCCCACACTTGAAGGCTGTTGGTAATTATTGTACGGTTTGCGCGGTGGCTAGACAACTGGCTGCCGCGCAACGTGTCGCGGATTCGATTCCCGCACGGCACAACTCTTTGTGCTCCACAAATTATTTTTCTGGGTCAGGGTGTGATGTGTATGAGAAAATGTGGCTGTGCTTTTAAAAAATTGACATCTTGATAAATAAATAATAGTATATCTTTATTTTTAGTAACACCCATGACACAAGAGTCATTGTAGTTGTAATTGGTCGGCAAACGAGCAGACGGATTACCTGATGGTAAGCAATCAGCGCCGCCCATGGACACCCGCAACGGAGGAGTTACGAGTGCGTTGCCGACCTTTTAGGGATTAGGGATTTGGAGATTTAGGGATTGCGGGATGGGAAGGATTGGGCCTCCGGTAACCTCACTCACACGGCGAAACACAACGCTGTGGTTGTTTCACGCCGGTCTTCTGTGAGGCCGTCGTATCACTCCAGTCGAGCCGACCCATTCGTGCCGAAGCAGAAAGCTTAAGGTTTTATTAATGAAAATAAAAAAAAAAATTTTTTTTTCTTTTCCCAGGGCACATAATGATGAAGTTGCCGAAAAATTGCAATTACTGTAAAAGACAATTCCAAAGAGTTTACGGCTGTAAGCGGCATATTATCGAACACTTGCTGACTGATGCATATGCAAAGAAACCCGTTCTTGGTGTGTTGAGATGCCAGATATGTGCAGCCGGGTCCCCCACACCCGAGAAATATAAGCAACATATGCGCGACCACGCGTCTCTACCAGTGTTTAAGTGTGAATTGTGCGACAGAACATTCAGTGACTCAAGTAATTTTACAAAACATAAAAAAGTTCACAATTTAAAAGTTTTCACTTGTGATCTTTGCAGAAAGAAGTTCCAAGCCAAGTCGTCTTTGATTAAACATATGGCGGTAAGTTGTTTTTCTTTCAAAATATATGCTTGTTTTATATATGTATAGTAAGTTCCTGCAGATTTTTGGTATAAAAACTATCCTATGTCCTTGTACGAGTTTCAAACTATGTTTGTACCAAATTTCACAGAAAACGGTTCAGTAGTTTAGGTTAGAATAAAAGACAGACAGACAGACAGTTACTTTCGCATTTATAATATTAGTATCGAAGTATAGACTGTGGAGTTGCACAAAAACATTGTGGTGGCCCAAATGTTAAGCTAAGCTTCTCATGCATGAAGAGGCAGGTTCGATACTCCCTGCCCCATCTCCTAATCTCGCGTGTTTTTAGTACAAAACACATATTTTGAAAAATCACACGGCAAATTGGGACATGTGGTGTCGTGATGGCCCGGAGGTTAAGGAGCCCGCTCCTCATACATGAGGGTGTGGGTTCGAAACCTGGCAAGTACCAATGTGACTTTTTCCGAGTTATATGTACTTTCTATGATTATTTAGACACCACTGACATACGGTGAAGGTAAACATCGTGAGGAAACCTGCACTTATAATTTCTAAATATAAGTTTGAAATCGCCAACCCGCATTGAGCAAGCGTGGTGATCAATGCTCTAACCTTCTCAATGTGAGAAGAGGCCTTTGCTTAGCAGTGGGCACTTATAGGCTGATGATGATGATGATGAATTGGGACATGGGGGCAGGGAGTATTTGACTTTGATGTTCAGCCAGGTTTGCGGGTCACGCGTAATAGGGTACCGCGGCCCCGGCTTGGAGTAGGAGAAGGGACGAGGTCGGTTTTAGTCACTAAAAGTCAGACATTGATAATTTACCAACCACAAAAAAATATTAAAATTCACGACTTCTCACCAAGGGGTTTGTTTTTGTGAGGGGAAAATCATCAAATGACTTCTCCCGCCGAGGGCCGGGCGGGAGGGAGTGTCAGACTGTTACTGACTAAAAACCCCCCCGTTTCTTCTCCTGCTCTGGGCCGAGGTCGCGGTGCCTCATTGCGCTTACCCCGCAACCCCGGCTGAACATCAGCTCTATAGGGCCCCGTCTGTGGTGGTCTATTGGCTCTTTGAAGCGCGCGCGGAACGCTACTCGCCGTACGCTCGGGTTCTCACCAAGGGTAGGGTCTGAAATTTTAAAAACTCCTCACGTAATTCACGAACCCCCTAAGTAGGTATTTGACTGCACGGTTAGTGCAGTGGCTGGGCAACTGGCTGCCGTGCTACGTGTCGCGGGTTCGATTCCCACACATAACAACTCTTTGTCTGATCCAAAATTTGTTGTTCTGGGTCTGGGTGTGATGTGTTTCCTATGTCAAAAAAAAAATATTATTAAAAAAAACAAAATACCCGACTGCACACTAAAAAAAGAGTAAAACAAGCCCCACAATACAAATTTACTGAATATAATTTATAAATGTTGATGGAAAGCATCGCAGGCGGGGGGACCAACAGAGGCTTATTTATAGTCATTTCTGTTGTGCACCATTTAGCAGAATTTTCGTTGGTGGCGGTCAAGGTGGTCCCCGCCTGCGATGCTTTCCATCAACATTTATAAATTATATTCAGTAAATTTGTATTGTGGGGCTTGTTTTACTCTTTTTTTAGTGTGCAGTCGGGTATTTTGTTTTTTTTAATAATAATTTTTTTATTTATAACTTTTTAGCTGTTTTTATTTAACGAAAATGTTGTAGATGTAGAAGACTATGTACATTCGGGCTGTATACTCGAGCATATCCCCCTCCGCACCGCGCCGCGCGCCGCAAGCCAGGCCACGCCCTATCTTTTTGCTTGCTAACGCATGAGTTGCTTTGCGTTGACGCAGAATTAACATGTTCCCGTGGGAATTTTGAGAAAAAACGTATCCTATATTAATTACTCCCGTGATTGAAATGAATCTAATGATACCGCATACATATTTTTTTAAAGGGAAATTTAGAAAAAATATTATTATGTCTTTATCCCGTGGGACTTTTAGGATAAAATGTATCCTATGACACTCCCGTAATCAAGACAAATCTAACGATACCTCATACATCAAAATCCATCAAGCCGTTTAGGCTACAGGAGGTCACAAAGGAAAAGACATACATACATACTTACATACACTCGAAAAACATTACCCTCCTTCTTTGGCAGTCGGGTAAAAATAAATTAATGCGACGTTTCAATACAAAAAAATATTGATAAAATAACTATAGTTTTATTCATCTATCGATCGGTACACTAAGTTTTGATTGATATTTTGTAATTAATTATTAAGAAATAAGTAAGCTATTTGACGCAAAAATACTATGACGTCATAACTCAGTTTCTCATACAAATTTCAAAGAAAAGTATCGTTTTTGACATTTTTGGATAAAAGTATTGAATTTTGACTAGTTGGAATGGAAACTGCCGTATTAGATATATGTTTGTAAACGCACCCACGACACGGGAGAAAATAATAGTGTAGGGCAAGGTTTTTTTTTTAAAATATTTTTTTTAATTTCAGATGCACCAAGCGATGCACCCGATCACCTGTGAATTTTGCAATCGAGTTTTTTATTTCGATTCCAGTTATCGGCGCCACGTTAGGTATTCTCACTCGAAATTCGCTTCAGGATTTCGCTGTGTTATGTGCAATGAGAGATTTGAAAATCTAAAAACGAAATGGAACCATATGTGGGAAGTTCACAAGGAAAGAAAACAGGAAGCGGACTGCCCTATCTGCTTAAAGTCCTTCAGAAAATACTCCGATGTAAAAGTTCACGCTAAATCTGTCCATGGGGTTCATGTGTCCATTGTTAGTATGAAAAATGCCTCAAATATTAAAATTAATGTAGAAAAGTGTTTCACTTCTCCCAAAATTAAGGTAGGTAAGCCTGAAACTCTTGTGGTATATGAGTCTGAATGACATAAGCTGTAAACAGCTGGTTCTCGTCAATCATTCATTGGGACTGTGGACCGGAGTGATACCACGGCCTCGCAGAAAACCGGCGTGAAGCAGTACTGATGTTGTGTTTCGCCGTGTGAGTGAGGTCGAAAGCGAAAGAAGCCAGCAACCCACTTGAAGTTACCCCTTTGGTATTACGAGTGCCCATGGGCGGAGCTGATTGCTTACCATCAGGTAATCTTATAAGTGATAAAAATATTATTTTTTTAGTGTTCATTCAATACGATGATTGGATGTTTAATTTCAATTTGTTCTGTATTCTACCGTTTCAATTTAACTTAAAAAAATTATTTAATTATGCGTTTATAATTGTAAATCTTTGTGTGATGAAAAAAATTTTGTTCCGGGTCTGGGTGTGATGTGTATGTGAAATTGTATATTTGTAAACGCACCCATGACACAGGAGAAAATCGTAGTGCGTAGTAGAAGTAGCCAACGTTTTATGGCATAAAAAACAAAATTTGTCAGTCACAGTACCATTCTCAAATGTAATGGAGAAAAATCTATTTTCTCTTTTTTTTTTCTTCAATATGACTATATTCTTTTGTTAGTATACTAAAATATCGTATGTCGTAGTGTCTCGAAGGTTAAGGCGCCCGCGTCTCTTGTATGTCGGTCCGCAACCTGGCAAGTACCAATGTGACTTTTTCCGAGTTATATGTACTTTCTATTATTATTTAGACACCACTGACATACGGTGAAGGAAAACATCGTGAGGAAACCTGGTCTTATAATTTGTAATTTTGAAATCACCAATCCGCATTGAGCAAGCGTGGTGTGATGCTCAAACCTTCTCCGTGTGAGAAGAGGCCTTTGCTCAGCAGTAGGCACTTGTAGGCTGATGATGATGTGACGTTAAAAATTGATTCTGCACAAAGACAGAATAGAAAATATATGGTTTCTTTACAAACTGTACCTAATTATAATTTTTTTGTAGTAATTAGTTATACAATATGTACAATATGTATTATGAATTTTTTAATTTTTTTGAGATATTGTCTGTGAATTTTTTTTGTTCTTAATATGTATCAAGGTTTTTTCATTAAGTAATTTTGTTTATCGAGTTATATATGTAATTTGGTGAATCATCGTACAAAAAAAAGTTTAAAAACTAAAACCCAACTACGACAAAAACCGACGCTGAAAAATTATAAAAAAAATAAGATTTTCGGAATACTGAAAGGCGAGTAACACGTCACATAATAATATATCTATAGTCAGAATTTTAATTCGATTCCTGATTTGACATGACCTACTGTCATTTTGTGAAATAATGATACCACATATAACAGTGTAATGATGAACATAAAAATCGATAAACAATCAGTGAATCAGTTTCAGGAAGGCATTCAAAAAATTACTACTACCGAATGGTCTAAATACGTATCCCATGTTGTCGAAGAAGAGGAATAAATGAGTAAGCTAGATATGTTAATTGACAATAAATATCACAGACACAATTCATAATAAATGTTACAGAAAGTAACAGCGATAGCGATAGCGATGACGGCGACAATTTATATAATTTCTGTTTTATTTGTCATGTTCCTTCATGATCACATTTTTTATTAAATTCACACACAATTACAAAAGAAAAGTCTCAGATCGTTAATTAATTGTCAAAACTAAATTATCGGTTTAGAAATATTTTATTACCTGATAAACTTAGTTTACGAGAGTAAATTTATAAACGAGAGGAATCGATTCAGAAATATTCGATTTACATATCGAATAATTTCGCAACGTCGCTATTTAGCACGTGTCATAACGTTGCAACACTGAAATTGTCAAATCTGGAATGGAATTAAAATTCCGAGTTTATCTACCGTAGCACTTTGACAACGTGTGACTACGCCTTTCAGTATTCTGGTAATCTTTTTTTTTTTAATGTTTTTCAGCGTTTTTTTTTCTCGTAGTTGGGTTTTAGTTTTTTTGCTTTACCGCAGTCGAGTAAAAATAATTTACCGAAATAAAAATGTTGATGCTGCTGGAAGCTATTGTTATTATAATAATCATGATAAAAATGAACTTAATAAATAAGTTCAGAAAATAAATTTGTTTGGGAATGTCGTTTGTTATTTGTAAGTTCTATGAAATCAAATGCTGAGTTGATCTCTACTTATTGAAATGCCAACCTTTAGATGTGTAAGAATTGTAAGATATTCAAGTTATTTCCAATGAAATATGTTATATGACGAATAAAGTGCTTACATTAAGATAAAAATTACTCTTTTATTTACTGTTTCGCATACATCTGTCCATGCTTCGGCACGAATAAGTCAATTCAACCGGGGTGATACCACGGCCTAATAGGAAACTGGCTTGAAACAACCACAGCGTTATGTTTCCGGAGACCCAATCCTTGCCCTCTCCCAATCCCTAATCCCCAAAAGGTTGTCAACGCACTCATAAGTCCTTTGGTGTTGCCGTTGTCCATGGGCGGCGCTGATTGCTTACCATCAGGTAAACCGTCTGATCGTTTGCCGACCTATTACATACCTTTACTAACAATTTCTTTCTAAAGAACCTTGCACTAACTTCTATAATAAACACAAAATAAATATAAAAATCTTCTACCTGTTCACACGTGATGCCACGAACATTCATGCCACATCTCCTACACTTAAAATATTCAAAGAAACTTGAATATTTTAAGTGTAGGAGAGCCATGCTTCGGCACGAATGGGTCGGCTCGACCGGAGTCATACTACGGCCTCACTGAAAAAGTGAAAACCCTTTACCCAATCCATAAATACCCAAAAGGCTAGAAAAATACTTAAAACTCCTCTGTTGTTGCGGATGTTCATGGGCGGCGTCGATTGCTTACCATCAGGTTATCAACCCATCCGCTTGCCGGCATCACATAAAAATCTATCAGCCGCTTGGTCAACGAATTTTCGAGTAGTCTGTTAATAATTGGCACTAGGGCAGTGCGCAGTCCACTCGCGACCCGCGCCTTAGCAACGCCCAATCTACGCAAGGCAGGAATTCGAGCAGCGATTTATCACAGGGTGGTCCACCCGCTGACCACCGGGCGCTGGGCTTAAAACAGAGGCGATCTGGTGACGCTACGGAGTTGATGTAGTGAGCGCATGCCCGACCATATAAAGAATACTAGCAGTAGGAGGCGAGTCGGTCTCAAAGAGCCAATAGACCAGACAGACGGGGCCCTACAGGGCTTGATATTGACCCGGAGCTGCAGGGTTAGCTCTATTTGGCACTGCTGTCTCGAACTTAATAAACAGGAGAAGGTACGGGGGTTTTTAGTCAGTAAGAGTCTGACACTCTCTCTCGCCTCACCCTGGGCGGGGGAAGTCATTTGATGATCTTCCCCTGACAAAAATAATAAAAAAAAGGATTCGGTCGCAAAGGGCGCTCCACGGTGGACGCCATCATGCGCTTGAGGGACCTCACGACGGGGACTGCGTTGGCAAGGGGTGGGTCGTGTCGTAGCGGTGTCTCTGGACATCACCAAAGCCTTTCAACTCGTTGCCTTGGAGGTATTCCGATACCACCGGTCGCCTGCCTATCTTCGTTGCGTAGTCGAGGCTTATTTTACGGATAGATCCGTCATCTACCACGGTCACCGCGGCGTGTAAAAACGGCGAGAAATGTCGCGCGGTGTTCCACAGGGATCGGTAATGGGACCGCTCCTGTGGCTCCAATTAGCTCGGAACTTTTTAAGAGTAATGAAAAAAATGTATTCAATCGTGATTTTCAGGATATTTTTGTCGTAAGTATTTGAGTCAGTAAGAAAAGAAAATATATGTGTTTAGTGTTTTGAATTTAAAGCCTCGAAGGCGGATGCGAAGTTGAAAGTACGTGTGTAGCGACATCTATCGGACGACATGCAGCAACAGCACCAATCGGGCAATTGCTCGTCAGGCACGACCACCTAGACTGGTTGTTAGATCTTCCCTTGTCAATGGAGGATGAAAAACTTTAAACCCTGTTCTCTCTCATAACAGTTATTGTGTATAATCTATGTCTCATACCTCCCAAACTCTTTCGGGTTTTAATCGAATACATTTTGGAGTGTTCGGGGGAATTACGTTGTAGTAGCCCGAGGGTTAAGCCATCCATTTCTTGTGGACGAGGGTTCAAGAAACCTGGCAAGTGCCAATGTAACTTTTCCGAGTTATAGGTATGTACTTTCTATGATTAGGTATTTATACACCACTGACATTGTCTAATTTCCAATTAAGTATAAATTTGACAATCCGCCTTGAGCAAGCGTGGTGATTAATAAAGTGTGGGAGAGCCATGCTTCGGCACGAATGGGTCGGCTCGACCGGAGTGATACAACGGCCTCACAGAAAACCGGCGTGAAACAACAACAGCGTTATGTTTCGCCGTGTGAGTGAGATTACCGGAGGCCCAATCCTTCCCCTCCCCCAATCCCTCCTCAATCCCTAAATCTCCAAATCCCTAATCCCTAAAAGGTCGGCAACGCACTCCTAACTCCTCCGTTGCGGGTGTCCATGGGCGGCGTTGATTGCTTACCATCAGGTAACCTGTCTGCTCGTTTGCCGACCTATCACAAAAAAAAAACAAAAAATTGCTCAAACCTTCTCCGTGTGAGAAGAGGCCTTTGCTCAGCAGTGGGCGCTTATAGGCTGATGATGTGACACCAGGCACCAGACAATTGGCAGAAGTCATCGCTTCATGGTGGATATCTCACCCACACGCACGAAGCAATTCGCCTCCAGTTTTATAATCAGAACCGCTAAGGAGTGGAATTCTTTGCCGGAGTCTGTGTTCCCCGAAGGGGGTGTCTCCAAGGCGCTAGTGAATAGGTTGCTTATGGGTAGGCGTGCTCCATAGCAGGTCGCATCATCGCATACCACCAGGCGTGATAGCGACCACATGCCAGCCCATCATCATCATCATCTTCCTGCCCTTGTCCCGTTTTATTTGGGTTCGGCGCAATATGTTTTTTTTCCATTCTGTCCCGTCACCCGTCACCCTATCGCTAACTCCTCTGTCTTCCATATCACTTCTCACACAATCTATCCATATTTTCTTTGGTCTCCCTCTACCTCTCCATCCATCCACAATTATACTCATGGCTTTTTTTGTAACATGCGTTTCATCACTCCTTTTTACATGGCCATATAATGCCCATTGCGTAATAAAAATTGTCATCATCCATTTTGATTTTTTTCGACAATTAGTGCAGTGGCTGGGCGTGTCTTCGATTCACACACAGAACAATACTGAGTGATCTATTTCTTGTTGTCTTGGGTCTGACTGGCTTGTGTAACCCACAAGCTTACAACATAGGAGAAAATCCGAGTGTTCATAAAAAATAATAAGTATTTAGGAAAACTAAGGCGAAAAATTAAATATCTAAATAGAGTCAAGATTGTAATAATTATTTATTGCATTCTCATACATATAGGTACATAACATTAAACACACAGGTAACTTGAGCTAATGTTCACATGTAAACAGCAGCTCATGTAAAGAGATTGTCCAGTCAACTGATGGTAGCGGTGACTGTCCAGGCGACACACGTACTTAGGTATCGTCATGAGCTAATGTTCACATGTAAACAGCAGCTCATGTAAAGAGATTGTCCAGTCAACTGATGGTAGCGGTGACTGTCCAGGCGACACACGTACTTAGGTATCGTCATGACCTAATGTTCACATGTAAACAGCAGCTCATGTAAAGAGATTGTCCAGTCAACTGATGGTAGCGGTGACTGTCCAGGCGACACACGTACTTAGGTATCGTCATGAGCTAATGTTCACATGTAAACAGCAGCTCATGTAAACAGATTGTCCAGTCAACTTGTAGCGACATCTAACGCACTACAGTAACAACAGCACCAATCACGTGCAAGAGTCTACATCGCGCTATAGGAGTTTTCCACACAATTAGCACCCATACAGATATCCCGACAACAACCGTCGGGCAGTAGCCCACCAGGCACGAACACCTCGCCTGGTCGGAGGATCCTCCCTTTTCAATGGAGGATGAGGAACTTACCACCCTGTTCCTCATACCTCTAAACTGGTGACCCCGAGCATGAACATCAACGCAGCCTTCGTGCAACACTTCCTCGAGCTTTCAAGCAGCAAGTCTACAGTCAGCCAGCTTCCACGGCTACAACGGGTTCCCTGACCACCAGCATGCAGCCGACGCGCGTTCCTGGTCAGCACCTACAGCCTCATCAGCAACTTCGGCACAGCATACTGCACCAGCCGGTCAGCAAGCAGAGACGTACTCCCTCTCCTGGTCGACGCAGCAGCTAGCCACTCTTCAAGACTGCTCCACCCGACTCACTGGGGCATTTTCGCAGACAGATTCGACGCACTGAAACCATCAACTGACTCGACAAGCAACTGAAGATATTCAGACGACTCAACCTGCTAACGACCTCCGGTCTCGGAGGGGAATGATGTAGCGACATCTAACGCACTACAGTAACAACAGCACCAATCACGTGCAAGAGTCTACATCGCGCTATAGGAGTTTTCCACACAATTAGCACCCATACAGATATCCCGACAACAACCGTCGGGCGGTAGCCCACCAGGCACGAACACCTCGCCTGGTCGGAGGATCCTCCCTTTTCAATGGAGGATGAGGAACTTACCACCCTGTTCCTCATACCTCTAAAAACTGATGGTAGCGGTGACTGTCCAGGCGACACACGTACTTAGGTATCGTCATGCGCTAATGTTCACATGTAAACAGCAGCTCATGTAAAGAGATTGTCCAGTCAACTGATGGTAGCGGTGACTGTCCAGGCGACTTAAATCACATGCTGTTGATCATAGTAAGATGATAATTCTTCTTCCAATTTGTCCTTCTCACAGACTTCTCTGAGATGCCTATTCAATTTACTTTTACCCTGAAATAGATAGGAATAAATTAATTACAATACGGTAGTTTCTAACTAGTCAAATTCAATACTTTTATCCAAATGTCAAAAACGATGATATTAATTTTAATTTGATTATTTTTGATGTTATCTTCATAAATTAGAGGCTTTGACTATATTTTATTGAGATTTTAATAATAATGTATTCATGATGTGTTCTCCTGTAATAGTTTCCAACTAGTCAAATTCAATACTTTTATCCAAACGTCAAAAACTATACTTTTCTGTGAAATTTGTATGAAAAACTGAGCTATGACGTCATAACATTTTTGCGTCAAATAGGTTACTTATTTAATAATAATTAGCTAAAAAAATCTAAAACTTGGTGTATCGATCGATCGATGAATAAAAGTATAGTTATTTTTCAATATTTTATTGTATTGAAACATCGAATTAATTTATTTTTGACCTAGGAAACTACCCAATTTTGCTAAGTATACATGGTAAGCTAAGGAATCAACGCTTAAACAAGAGAAAATGATTTGCCAAGGACATTTAAGATTGCTCTTCATCATCATCTCTTTAAGTGTGGGAGAGCCATGCTTCGGCACGAATGGGTCGGCTCGACCGGAGTGATACCACGGCCTCACAGAAAACCGGCGTGAAACAACCACAGCGTTGTGTTTCGCCGTGTGAGTGAGGTTACCGGAGGCCCAATCCTTCCCCTCCCCCGATCCCTCTCCAACCACTAAGTCTCCGTAACCCTAATCCCTAAAAGGTCGGCAACGCACTTATAACTCCTGCGTTGCGGGTGTATATGGGCGGCGCTGATTGCTTACCATCAGGTAATCCGTCTGCTCGTTTGCCGACCTATAACATAAAAAAATCAGTAATCGCTGCTTTTCAATTAGTACCAAACAGTTTCTTAGCTGGGTATTACACACCCAGGGCAAGAGCGAGGGTGGTAAAACGAAATAAATGTGTCCTATTAATCCATACTCACTTTGAAACTATTCCCGCATATATGACAGTATGCCAATTTAATCGGAGTCGGGTTCGTATGTGACTTTATGTGTCGTATCAGAGATTTCCTGTTTGTGTAACGAGCTGAACATGTGGAACAACAGAAGTCTTTCGTTGACGAATGTACTGCAGATATGTGTGACGCTAAAGATTTCTCGTTCGGACACGCTCTGTTGCAAATTGGACAATCGTATCTGAAAAACAAATATAGAATAACTAGCTACTCTCGCGCTGTTTCACCGGCTGCTCGGCTCCATTTGATCGTAACGTGATGTTTTATAGCCTATAGCACTCAGGAACATTGTAGCTATGTATCAGTGAAAGAATTTTGGCAATCCGACCAGCGGTTCCAAAGATTACCCCCTACATACAAACTTACAAATTTTACCTTTTTATACCTACGATCTATAGGAGCCGAGCAGCGGTCAAAACCACGAGATTAGCTAGTCAAGAATAAAAAATTTGAAATAAATAATCAAAAAGAAACATACTACTTTCACATTATAATTGAGACACAAGAAATAATTAAGACAACATGAACATTTTCGAATAACAAATCATATCGGAATTAGCAAAAAGTATCGCCCGAACAGGGACTTGAACCCTGGACCCTTGGATTAAAAGTCCAATGCTCTACCGACTGAGCTATCCGGGCTTATAAGTTGCAGCTCGAAATACACTATTAAAAGTTGTAGTACAAACTTAACATAGAGTGAAAGAGCCATGCTTCGACACGAATGGGCCTCCGGTAACCTCACTCACACGGCGAAACAACGCTGTGGTTGTTTCACGCCGGTTTTCTGTGAGGCCGTGGTATCACTCCGGTTGAGCCGACCCATTGGTTCCGAAGCGTGGCTCTCTCACGCGGTTAATGCCTTTATGTAGGACTAGAAGACTAGTAATCAATATTACTTAGGGCTTTTTTCAATGGTCAGATAAAAGTTACCTGCGGAATAATTATGATGTTGTCGCGTCACAATGTTTGTATAAGACAGTGACAGCAACAATTTTATTCCTCACAAAAAAACAGACTATAAGATGGCAGCATGCATCATCGAGGGACGATCTTCGGCCACCTAGAGCGCGGGTCTGCGGGCGGCGAGTAAGGGCAGCTCGCCGCCCGACCAGAACCAGACCCGAGCGTAAAACGCGTGGCGTTCCGCGCGCGCCTCAAAGAGCCAATAGACCACTACAGACGGGGACCTATAGGGCTGATGTTCAGCCGGGGCTGCGGGGTAAGCGCAATAAGGCACCGCGACCTCGGCCCAGAGAAGGAACGTGTGGATTTTTAGTCAGTAAGAGTCTGACACTCTCTCTCGCCTTACCCTGGGCGGGAGAAGTCATTTGATGATTTTCCCCTCACAAAAAAAGCCCTGGCAGTCAAAAAGAAATGTCTAGGTACTTACGATCGAGTTTGGTGGTTGAGTGACTGTCTCTGATGAGCCAGAAGGCTCTTTCTAGTTGAGTAAGAGACTCCACAGGTATCACAGAAGAATTCTTTACTCTCTTCTGTTCGTAGATGTTTTTTCTTATGTTGAGACAAAGTGTAGGGGCTACTAAACACTGAACTGCATTGGTCGCAAGAAAATTTTCGATGGATGTGCTTTCTGTGAACAAGAAAATATAGCCATACTTATACTAGCTTTTACCAGCGACGTCGACGGCGTCCGTTCGCTTGAAATAGAGACTTCCTGCAGATTTTTGGTATAAAAACTATCCTATGTCCATTCTTGAGTTCCAAACTAAGTCTGTACCAAATTTCACAGAAATCGGTTCAGCAGTTTAGGCGTGAAGAAAAGACAGACAGACGTATAGATAGTATACATAGATTATAACGCTGAAGAGTTCGTTTGTTTGAACAGTTTCAACCGCTGCTCGGCTCCAACAAATCGTAGCGTGATGTTTTATAGCCTAAAGCCTTCCTCGATTAATGTTATAAGAAATACAGAAAGAATTATACAATTCGATCCAGTAGTTTTGGAGATTAGCGCGTTCAAACAAACAAACTTTTTAGCTTTATAATATTAAATATTATACAATAATACAATACATAAATACATAATAATAATAGTATAGATTAAGTTGCATATAAATAACTTACATCATATGCGTCCTAACAGCGGCTTGGTTGTTATAATTCTTTCCACAAACGCTGCAGGAGTAGGTTCGATTCCCAGTTCGTGTCATATGAAACCTTTTCAAATGCTGATGTAGACCACTTGAATCCCTGTAAGAAAATAAAACCTACAGACATACATACTTACACACATAAAAATTAATTTCTTTGTCTATTGATTTAGATGGTTAACTAAAGGTAAACAATGTCGGTATGTCTTTTTATATTAAAGAGGTCGTATAAAAAAACCCCGACCAAAAATCTAATATTCCTTTTAGAATAATAATGAAAAAAACGTGGCGTTGGGGGACCGATCCGAACATTTTATTATCAACCACATATTTCTATTTTGTCGGGGGTCTAATTTATTTTTTTATTTTATACTTTTTTTAGGTATTTTATATCATTTTCTCTCGATTAAGCCATCAACATTCCCTTTCAGTGCGCTTTCATTTGAGACCCCACCCGAGTATATTTGCAGACCTTCGGTTACCCTTCCCCACTTACCCCCCATAACTTCTAAACGGCTCAACCGATTTTCGTCAAACATGTCTAAGAACACTCGCACGTAAGTCATCTTTAATACAAAAAAAACTAAATTGAAATCGCTTCACCCGTTCAGGCTCCAGGATGCCACAGACAGACAGACAGACAGACAGACACGTCAAAATTATAACGCCTGTCTTTTTGCGTCGGGGGTTAAATAGCAACAAAAATTATTTAGTATATTAGCTAACATCGATTAGGTAAATACTTTATTGTCAACAACGGTCACCGATACCGCCTAAAAAGTCGTAATAAAATAATTTCATTTTTTTAAACCATTTTTATTAAATCGAAAATAATACTTATTACAAATATTAATAAAAATTAAATGTAATAAATACATAAAAGAAATAATGTGAAAAGCAAAAAGTACCGCCCGAACAGGGACTTGAACCCTGGACCCTTGGATTAAAAGTCCAATGCTCTACCGACTGAGCTATCCGGGCTTATGACATATTGATCGAAATATACCACTGGAAGGCGTAGTAAGAATACGGTAGTTTCCAACTAGTCAAATTCAATACTTTTATTCAAACGTCAAAAACGATACTTTTTTATAAAATTTGTATGAAAGACTGAGTTATGACGTCATAACATTTTTGCGTCAAATAGCTTACTTATTTCTTAATTTGCTAAAAAAAATCTAAAACTTAGTGTATCGATCGATCAATGAATAAAAGTATAGTTCTTTTTCAATATTGTATTGTATTGAAACATCTAATTAATTTATTTTTGACCTAGGAAACTACCCAATTTATATTATCTACTTATATGTTAATTTTTATTAGCATACTAGCTGTTACCCGCGTCTTTGCTCCCATTGTTTGACTACCTACGCTTGTCACCCTACACTATCTTCAGCGGGGGTTGCGGGGTAAGCGCAATGAGGCACCGCGACCTCGGCCCAGAGCAGGAGAAGGAACGGGGGGGTTTTAGTCAGTAAGAGTCGGACACTCCCTCCCGCCCGGCCCTGGGCGGGAGAAGTCATTTGATGATTTTCCCCTCACAAAAAAACCCTACACCACCTACCCTATCCTACCTACCGTAACTACACAAACCCTACCCTAACTAATTAATTTATTTATATTATTTAGTTTTTTTTTCTTTTGTATACATAACTGTTTGAAATACATAAGAGTTAAGTATATAATGTCTAATTACAATTTAAGAGAGCGCCTTTCGCCATCAAAGTTATAAGATACCCAATTAATTATTGTTTTCGGCTTACTCACGTAATAATTTGACGAGATACTCGACTAGTTTCAAGCCATGCTAGAGGCCCATATTCATGAGCAGCATTCCGCGACACGCGACTCGGCGACTGTCGCGCTGCTACTGTCGGCGACTTTCGCGTAGCAGCGCTACAGTCGCGAACTAGTCGAGTATCTCGTCAAATTATTACGTGAGCAAGCCGAAAACATAATAATTAATTTAGAATGTCTCACGAAAGTTATAATAAAAAAGAAAACCCAATGTTAAAGCTGTATGAATAAAATTATTAAAAAAACACTTACTGAAAAAGCCGGCCGCAGAGGTGGCATGTGGCTGATGTGGCGGTCCGGTGGCAATATTTAGCGTGCGTTGTAGTTTGGCGAGCTCGCACCCATTCCGAGCAGACGAGACATCGATAGCGTACGCTGTGGAGCATCGCGTGGGACCTTAGCACTGCTCCTGTCGCGAAACGTAAGGAGCAGACGTCACACCTGTATTCGCCGTTTGACTGAAATAAAAACATAGGTTATTTTTTATGTAATAGGTCGGCAAACGAGCAGACGGATTACTTACCTGATGGTAAGCAATCAGCGCCGCCCATGGACAACGGAAGAGTTACGAGTGCGTTGCCGACCGTTTAGAGATTAGGGATTGAAGAGGGATTGGAGGAGGGGAAGGATTGGGTGTAACCTCACTCACACGGCGAAACACAACGCTGTGGTTTCACGCCGGTCTTCTGTGAGGCCGTGGTATCACTCCGGTCGAGCCGACCCGTTGGTGTCGAAGCACGGCTCTCCCACACTTAAAATGATCTGAATGAAATTTGGCACAAGCATAGGAGACACTCCGGAATAGGACATGGGCTACTTCTTATCAACATACCATGCGGGCGAAGCCACGGGCGGCAGCTAGTTAAGAATAAAGCGGGGTCAAACAACTACAACGTTGTGCTTCGCCGTGTGAGTGAGGTTACGGGATGCCCAATCCTCCACATTCCCAAAATCTCCAAATCCTTAATACCCAAAAGGTCGGAAACGCACTCGTAACTCCTCCGTCGTTGCGGGTAACCATGGGCGACGCTGATTGCTTATCATCAGGTAATCCGATTAATCATTGGTTACTTATAACATGCTAGCTACTCTGGCGCGGTTTCACTCGCTGCTCGGCTCCATTTGATCGTAGCATGATGTTTTAGCCTATAGCACCCAGGAACATTGTAGCTATCTATTAGTGAAAGAATTTTGGCAATCCGACCAGCGGTTCCAAAGATTACCCCCTACATACAAACTTAAAAATTTTACCTCTTTATAATATTAGTATAGAAAAAAAAATTATTACCTCTTCATGCCTCATCATATGTGTCTGGTATGTATCCTTGAAGAGGAACCCGAGGGCGCAGTTAAAGCATTTGAACTCAGATTCTAAATACTTCTTACTCCTTCTCTGCTGTTCTAAATCCGCCTTCTGCTCTTCAAACGGTAGAAGAATCTTCTCGAACGCTTTTGTTTTAGATTTTGATGACGTTTTGTCACTTTTTGTTTCTGCAAAGATGAGAAAATATTCTTATGTTTAGGTTATAGTAACCTATGGAACCGCTGGTCGGATTTCCAAAAATCTTTTACTTTTACATATATAGCTACCATGTCACTGAATAAATTATTCCTGTTTCGTGTATTTTAGTCGAGTTATCGCTACAAACGCTGCTGTTATTAAAATTCCCGAGTACATTAAGTCCTGTTACACGCGTGCGAAGCCGCGGGCGCTACTCTCGGCGGGGCTACTGTCACGCGGTTTCACCCACTGCTTAGCTCCATTTGATCGTAACGTGATGTTTTATAGCCTATAGCACTCAGGAACATTGAAGCTATCTATTAGTGAAAGTATTGCAATCCGACCAGCGGTTCCAAATATTAGGTACCCTCTACATACAAACATACAAACTCACAAAATTTTACCTCTTTATAATATAAATATACATAGATAAAGCCCATAGATTTGTTTGTTTGAACGTGCTAATCTACAGAACTACTGGTTCGAATTGAACAATTATTTTTGTGTTGGATAATCCATTTATCGAGGCTAAAGGCTACAAAACATCACGCTACTACTAAAAGGATCCGAGCCAAAGTCAAAGTTTACAAATGATTTATTTCAATTAGACCCTTACACGCACTTTTGAACGTCAAACAAAATGTTAAAGATAAAAAGTGTCAGTCTGTCGGTCAGCCCACTAGTGAAGCTATTTGCTCGTTCCAGAGTGTAAAGCTGCGGTGTAGTGGTGCAGCGAGTAAAACTACGCGAGAATAGCTAATTACGTTATATCAAGAGTGGAATACAAACCAGCATCATCTTCCCCTTCTTGGGCGCTATTTTCATTCCTGATTTCATTTATACATTCATTTTTTTCTTCAGTATAAAATTCAGACGGGGCAGCAATATTTTCAGCGTCTATATTAGACTCTAAATCGTTACTTTCATGGTTAATTGATAAATCCTCTTCATTTTCACCTGAATCCACGTTATTGTCTAAATCGCCATCGTTATTGTATATTTGACAATCGTTATTGTACATTTGACAATCATTGTCATATGTTTGACAATCATTGTCGTATATTTGACAATCATTGGTTTCTAAGTCATCATTTGTTTGTTTTTCTTCGTCTTCTACATGAGTTTGAGAGAAATAATCATCGTGGCGGTGATCATCACGATCATCCTCGAGTTTTATATAATCATGACTATTTATACTTTGGTCTTTGTTCTCTATATAAAATTGATTACCGTCTGTCCGTAAACAGGTTTCTTCTGTACATAGTATTATAGGTTTTATGGCATTTCTTTGTAGATTTACTGTACCTTTGGCACTGGAAGAGATAATTAATATTCATCAGTCTATAAGCCTTTAGCTGGGCTAAATTACTTCTCAGACGGAGAAGGTAAATCCAGAAGCGAAACAACAACAATTGTGGTTTCGTGCGGGAATCGAACCTGCGATACGTTGAACAGCAGCCAGTTACTTAACCACTACGCCAATCGCGCAGTCAATTCGACTAGAAGAGATTGCATGTTTTGTTTGTTTTATGTGAAAGGCAAACAGATTACCTGATGGTAAGCAATCAGCGCCGCTCATGGACACCCGATATAACGAAAGAGTTACGAGTGTGTTGCAGACCTTTTGGGGATTTTGAGATTGGAGACGGATTGGGGGAGGGGAAGAATTTGGCCACTGGTGACCTCATGACCACATGGCAGAACACAATGCTGTGGTTGTTTCACGCCGGTTTTCTGTGGGGCCGTGTACCACTCTGGTGGTAGACTAGAATTCAATTTGACTAGACTTTGACAATGCGTATTTCCCCAAAAGACTGTCAACACATTTGCAACTTCTCTGGAGTTGCAATGGTATCCATGGCTGGTGCCAATTGCTTATCATAAGGAGATCTAGATAGATCACCTAGAAACAAGTAGATACTTGTCTCTACATAAAAAAGTATGGCGCGTTCCAGGGACACAAACAACTGTATAAAATCCCGCAAAGAAATAAATCTGGAGAAAAGGTAAAATCTAAATAGTTTCCACTTCCTTCGGTGAATAAGTAGGTAAGGAGTTTCGCTACCAACCTGAATAGCACCGGATATTCTAGACTCCGCTTCAGACAGAGTGACTTAAAAAGCCAAAGCTTGTCCACTAAATGTTTGCAAATGTAACATAGATGTGAATCGGGACACAGCTGAAAAAAAAAATAAAGTAAAAAAATTTTTTTTTATGAAATAATTAATCACTTGGTATGTTGATAAGATGCAGCCTCCGTGTTACTCCAGACAATCTATCCATCGAATTTCTTTAAATTAATATGAAAAGTCTTTTTTTGAAAATGTTTGTTGAAAAGTTGAAAGTTTTACATGACTATTGAAAATGTTTTTAATCAAAAACATAAAAAAGGTGGGACAAAGAAAATGAAGATGACTAAAACTCGTTGGGAGGATGATATCTTGCATCTTGTTGGAATAATATGGTTGCTACAAATATCGAAAGACAGAGAAAGATGCCTTTTTTGTAGGAAAAGTAAAACATTTTATATTAATCTGAATTGTTCTGTACTTTTTTGATCATTATTCAAGTTGAGCAAAGTATTATTGAGGTATTTTGATATCCGAAGTTCCTTTAATTTGGCATCAGATGATTTCGATTCAATTGGGAAAAAATGAGTTGTGTGCCTTTAAAAATCTTTCTAACTGAAATGTTAGTGTTATAGTTGCATACAAATAATATCCTTAAACGAAATCAGTTTATGAAAACTAAACAGATAAAACATTTTTTCAAACAAATTGAGTATTTACATTCATTCCAACGATTTCTCTGTACTTTTCTCGGGTATCTTCACTGGTGTCAGAGTTCACAGTGTTACGGCAGATAAAACATAAAAACGATGACATTTTTCATTCAAAATCTGTAAGTAGAAGTAAATTTTTTACGTGTTTTCGTTTTTATTTGTAAACAAAAAACCAGATCAACTACATGTGACATTAGATTTATATTGACATTAAAAAAATCAATCAGTCACCTGATAACTTGTCTATGCTTTTGATGTAGCGTTCAATTAATCAATGTTATTTCATTTCAATCTGGAAGCACCTTATTCTAAAAAAGTAACCGTATCGCTCCCCAATAACAAATTAACCAAATAAGATTACTGAAAATGAAATTAACACCATACACCGGATTTATAATTTGGACAGCTGCCGTTTGTTTAGGAAACCTTATTTCTGAATGCATTCAAAACTAACTTGTTTGTGGAAATTGCGTAATTAGGGTTGTACTTGTTTGTTGATGTAACTTTAGTAGATTATAACAAATCTACTAAAATAATAACGTTACTATTTATTTCTGGATAAACTGTTAAGTTTGTATTTTTAAATATGTGAGAGCACTTAAATAAAGTAATGAATAGTTAAAATAATATACTTCAGCAATATTTTTAGTTTCATCCCTTTCTGAAACTAGTTTTACTTATGTATTAAAATTTTAGTACAAATAACCAAAAATCGACTAATTAAGATGACAAAACTTTTTCAAAGGTGCAGTGCAGCGCCACACGTCACGTCAGATTCAGAAAAAGGATAAATTTTGTGCCTTGAAGCATATTTCAATAAAAATTAACATTATTTCGACACTGTTATAAACAATACGACCCTAATAATTGGGTCAATAAACTGTGCATTCCCTGTAGAACTGTTGTGTTGTGCGTGTGTATTTTTTCCGTTTTTACTGAGTTCGAAAACGGTTTTGGTGTTTCTCAAATAAGCGGTTCTCAATTGTATGAATTGGCATAGGACTTTATAATTAGCCGTTTGCGTCGTCTCTTACATTGTGCGTGCCACAATTGCCGGACGTTTAATTCTCGAGGCTGTTATTTATTAGACAATCTTGTCAAATGTGCGGTGCGGTAATCGTAGCGAATTTTTCGCGTCCAAAATATATTTGATGAACAGCGATATCAGTGATAACTGTAAGTATATTAGAATTCTTTATTATTTTTTTAATGTTGGCTTCTTTTCTTTTAGTGATGCGGTAATATTATATCACAAGGTTTTTTTTTACTTGTAATGACGAACAAGCTATTAAAATTTCTTTTCAGCTTAAATTATTCAGAATTTTAAAATAAAAACAAAAAAATATTTCCCTACACATACCAAATTGGTATTGGTATGGTTAACTATTACAGTAAGATTATCAAAATGATAAACACTGTTTATCTTTCAATTTGAAAATGTTTAGCAATAATGTAATGCTGTTATCATTACAATGGTTTCAGTTTTTAGTACCTATTTACTATGACTGTATATGTATGAATGTACTTGTTATCATGGAAATAAAATTCTGTTTCAATATACTTACATACTTGGGAAAAGATTTTCTTTCTGAGATTATACTTTTTTGAAGACTAAACTAAACAGTTCAGAGAAGAAGAACTAAACTTTCATATTTTTTATTTATTTATCTAGTAGCCATTAATCCAAAGAGACCTTTTTGTATTTAATTATCATAGGTAAAAAGAGGCCAGATCATTCTCTATGGTATACCAAAAGTTCTTTTTTAAACTTATATAAATGTCCATTGATCATAGTCAAGAGTTTCTCTGCTGAACATGGCTATAATTATTTAAAAGACCTCTCAAGTCACCTGTGTAAACAAAAATTACTAGCTACTACATAGTAATAATTTATTCCTTGATATCAATTTCTTATTTAATCTCATTGAGTATCATTAAAATAGTCTTACTAGAAATGTTTAAATGACATTAAGAAAAAAAGATAAAAATAATGTTTCAACAACTATGTGCTTGTGGAAAAAATAATGTAAGGTAAAAATAACTACATGTTTTTGGAGGCAAGACTTCAAGCCATAAACTCAGGCACAAAGTTGCAACAGTTCGGTTTTTTTTTATCAAATTAATACATTTTGGACAGTTTACGGAAACTGCACAATTTAACTTCTTTGTACACCATCATACCATCAGACAATCGGGAAACTATTGTTGCTTCATAGTGGATATCCCAATCATATGCCTTCAGTTTTATTAACAGAACCGCTAAGGAGTGGAATTCTTTGACGGAGTCTTTAGAGTGGTTTTCACAATGTATGAATAGCGTTTATATACTTAATAAATTTGTATTAACTACTATATACTATGTACTACTACTATATACCACATAAGTTTACTGGGTACTTTTATGAAGGACATGGAACAATAAATCCTTTACAATATAATTTTTTTTTTCGAAAATATTAATAAGTAAGTTGTAGACATTACATATGTATGTTGCATATTAGCTACTCTCGTGCTGTTTTTCGCACTGCTCGGCTCCACTTAATCATAGTGTGATGTTTTATAGGCTATAGCACACAGGAACATTGTAGCTATCTATCAGTGTAAGAATTTTGGAAATATGACCAGCGGTTCCAAAGATTACCCCCTACATACAAACTTACAAATTTTACCATTTTATAATATTATCTGTACATGAGTACTATTTTTCTTCTGTTCCTTTTTATTTGAAAGTTTGTAAGGAAATAAAAACCCGAGTTGTGGCAAAACTCGTAATATCGATCATTAATAAGAATGAGATGCTATTATTGTTGTTACTTTAACTAAAATTTGTATGCACAACTGCATACTTCAAGGCTATTTGGGTGCAATGTTTGGTAGTTGACTTAACCCAAAAATATTAATTAAAAAATATTAAACTTCCATTTATGATGTATGTCATTAATAATAGTATTTTGCTAGATAATTTCGTAGCAAAATAAAAACATATGTCTCAACACAATCCCTTACAAATATTATGGAAAATTTAAATTCACAATTCGAAAAAAAGTGTTGAATTATAAACTATGTGTTAATCCAAGGTATCACCTGTCTCAGCCAGGGCTGCGGGGTAAGCGCAATGAGGCTCCGCGACCTCGGCCCATTATAGGAGAAGGAACGGGGGTTTTTAGTCAGTAAGAGTCTGACACTCCCTCCTGCCCTACCCTGGGCGGTAGAAGTCATTTGATGACTTTCGCCTCACA